ACGAGGAGGAGGAGGAGAGGAGGAGGAGGAAGAGGAAGATCGAGGAGAAGGAGGAGGAGAAGGAGGAGGAGGAGGAGGAGGCTCGAGGAGGAGGAGGAGGAGGAGGATCGAGGAGGAGGGAGGAGGAGGAGGATCGAGGAGCAGGAGGATCGAGGAGGAGGAGGAGGAGGAGAGGAGGAGGAGGAGGCTCGAGGAGGAGGAGGCTCGAGGAGGAGGAGGAGGAGGAGGATCGAGGAGGAACAGGAGGAGGAGGTGGCACCAGCCGCCTATGCGCGCGGGGGCGGCGCCACCAGCCACGCGTCGGCGGAGGGCTCCTCCTCCCCGCGAGGCAACTGCGTCTGCGCAGACCGCCCACGGCCGGCCCCTGGGGCGCGCCGCGGGGCGCTCGGGGGCGAGTGCGGGGGATGGATCCCGCACAGGACCCTTCTTCTTCTGCTCCTCCTCCTCCTCCTCCTCCTTCTGCTCCTCCTCCCCCTCCTCCCCATCCTCCTCCTCCTCCTCCTCCTCCTCCTCCTCCTCCTCCTCCTCCTCCTCCTCCTCTTCCCCGTCCTCCTCTTCTTCCTCCTCCTCCTCCTCCTCCTCCTCCTCCTCCTCTTCCTCCTCCTTCTGCGCCGCCTGAGAATCCGAGGCGCCGATGCTGGCTCCTCCTCAATTCCTTCTCCTTCGGGGTAACTCCTCCCTATCGCACCCCGAGGCCGGTCAAAAGGGCGGGCTTGGCGTTTCGCCTGAGACTTCCTCGCCATTGATGACCCTGAGGCGTAAGAATTGGCAACAGTTTCACAGATGGATGGCGGGTGGTTTTCAGAATGTAGCTCTCGCCATAGCGCCTTGCACACTCTTTTTAAACACGTTGCAGAAGTTTTGCAGATTGAGGGCGGGCAGTTTCCAAACTGTGGTTTTCGCCTAAGCGCCGTGCACACTCGGGTTAAAGAAGTTGCAGGAGCTTCACTGATTGAGGGCAGGCCGTTTTCAAAGTGTGGCTCTCGGCTAGCGCCGCGCAAATTCCGTTTAAACATTTGCAAGAGTTTCGCGGATCCCCATGGCCAATGCACCAGACATGGAGCCTTGAACGGATTCAGGATTGTGAGGGTGCAATGGTGACGTTGATTCGCGGTGTTGAAATCCCAGGAGTGGCGTTCTGGCACAAGTCAAGATCGTCAAGACGCAACGGTCAGGTTGATCCGTGGCGTTGGAGCCCCGAGAACGATGTTTTGGATTGTTTCAGGGTTTTCGAACAGTTGTCTCCCAACGAGGCAGTTCCCTCAGTGAAGATGGAACCCTCGAGGGGCCTATTTATGAAGAGAGATCTTGGAGGGAGGCGTTATTCAAACATTTGATGAGTCTTGGGTGTGCACTGGTCCTCCTCCTCCTCCTCCTCATCATCATCATCAGCATCATCATCATCATCATCATCATTATCATTATCAGCATCTTCATCTTCATCTTCATCTTCGTCTTCAGTTTCACCTTCATGTTGCTTCTCCTCGTGCTCCTCCTCCTCCCTCTCCTCCTCTTCCTGCTCCTCCCCGGGACTGGGGCATGTGAGCACGCAGCAGGCCAACGGAGCCCAAAGCGTTGTTGGAGGATGTCAGCGACCAGTGGCCACTACTGTTCCAATGCCCTGGTGGACACTCCCATGGATCCGGCCGCTGGGCGCTCGGCCTGCGGAGGGGCCCCGCTCGGCGGGGCGCACCACGGCCGACGCCCCTCAGCGAGGAGGAGGAGGAGGAGGAGGACGACGAGGAGGAGGAGGAGGAGGAGGAGGAAGAGGCGGAGGAGGAGGACGAGGAGGAGAAAGAGGAGGAGGACGAGGAGGACGAGGAGGAGGAGGAGGACGACGATGAGGACGAGGAGGAGGAGGAGGACGAGCCGCAGTGGGGCGCCAACGGCGGAGGAGAGCAGAGCGCGACCTGTCTTTGTGCGGCGTGTCCCTCGGATCCCAAGAAGCCTCCCGTCTCCATTGTTAGGGGAACGAGCAATGACATAGACATAAAAACTCGGAGGTCCTTGGGGATCTCTCTGAACGACGCTGGAGACCCCTTGCGGCGACCCCGGCGCCACCACTGGCGCGCTGCGCGCGGCAAGGAGGGGGGTCCAACGCCAATCCGCGAAGAAATCCGCACGGACCTCCGAGATGTTATGTTTAAGTCATTGCTTGTCTCCCTAATGGTCGCGCCTGCCGCTGCTGGGCTTGAGCTGGCTCGACGCTGTGGCGATGCGGCCCCGAGGGCCCCTTCTGGGGCCGAGTGGGGGTTCGCGGGGCAGTCCCCCGCGCCACCCGGGCGCTGGTCCAAATCACGCTGGTCTCCTCGCCCTCCTCCTCGCCTTCCTCCTCCTCCTCCTCCTCCTCCTCCTCCTCCTCCTCCTCCTCCTCGCCCTCCCCCTTCGCCCTCCCCGAGGGGCCCGTCTCTCCTCCGGGGCGGCTCCCGGACGGCCCGGGTGCTCGAGGGGGGCTGCTCCCCGAGGCCTAGGGCCGGCGGCCAGCAAAGCCCTGGGCAGCCTTCCGGCCGGCTCGGAGGGCTCGGAGGGCGCCCCTCCTTCCCTTCCTCCTCCTCCCCTCCTCCCCCTGCTCCCCTTCCTCCCCTTCCTCCTCCTCGTCCTCCTCCTCCTCCTCCTCCTCCTCCTCCTCCTCCTCCTCCCTCCTCCTTCCCGTCCTCCCATTCCTCCCTTCTTCTCTTCCTCCCTTCTTCCCTTCCTCCCCCTCTCCTCCCCCTCTCCTCCCCCCCCCTCCTCCCCCTCCTCCCCCTCCTCCTCCTCCTCTCCCACCCCCCGCGAGCTCCCGCGCCCGCTGGGAGTCTTGGGAGCCTTTTGGGCCATCTCGGGGCCCTTTGGGGCCGTTTGGGGGGCCCTCTTGGGGACCCCTTGGGCCGTCTGGGGGCAACCTTGGGGGCCTCTTGTCTTGGGTTGTACTGCACACACGAGAGGTCGAAGAGGCGAGAACGTCATGCATGTAGGAACAGAAACAAATAAGAATGTCAACGATTGTTGCCTCTTGGCGACCTCTTGAGGGTACTCATGGATGGGGCTCTTGGGCCATCTTGGGGGCCTCTGGGGCTGTGTTGAGGCCATCAGGGGCCCTCTTGGACCTATATTGGGCCGCTCTGGAACAGTAGTGGGCCGCCACGGGACTTCTTGATCAGTTTTGGAGCGCCTGGAAGTTCTTGGACAGTTTTGGCGCGCCTGGAAGCTTCTTGGCCACTCAAGAACCCCAGCATGTTGCATTATCTTCCCCCCCCCGCCGCCCGGACATCCGTTCCAGATCGGCCAGACCGGGTTACTGGAGGGACGGGTTTCTGGGGAGTGGCACTTTTTCTTACACGCCGAGGGGCCCGAAGGGATCGGCGAGTTCTGCTTGTTCGGGAGTCCCTGTCCGCTTTCACTAAAGAGCGCTTTGCTAAAGGGGGTTCTGTCCACACCCGAGTCTGGGGAGGGGCAAGTACAGAGGAAGCCCCTGTCAAGAAACGCCCTGCTTGCCTCCGTGGTGCCTGGGTTCCTTGGGCTTCGATGGTTCTACGATGGAAAGCGTAACGTCCCCATACCAACAATCCGCGGACATCTTGGGGTATGATGATACTGATGATGATGGTGATGATGAAGATGATGATGCTGCTGATGATGATGGTGATGATGGTGATGATGATGATGATGATGATGATGATGATGGCAATGGTGATGCTGATGACGATGACGATGACGATGAGGATGATGTTGATGATGATGCTGGTGATGATGGTGATGCTGATGATGTTGATGATGATGATGATGATGATGCTGATGATGCTGATGATGATGCTGATGATGACGATGATGATGATGATGATGATGATGATGATGCTGATGCTGATGCTGATGATGATGATGATGATGATGATGATGATGATGATGATGATGATGATGATGATGATGATGATGATGATGATGATGGGCTGGGCTTCTTGTGGAAGGTTTCTTGTGGTCGAGCTCCCAATGCCCTTCGCACGCCGGGGAGCCCCAGAGGGGCCTGCCTGGCAGCGGTCCGCAGCCACCAGAGGAAGCCACAGGGCACCAGCCAGAGGGCACAGGAGCAGCCACGGGGCAAGTGCGATGACAAGTTTGCTCGGCTCGAGCGTGAGGAAAAAACAGCTCTAGCGTTGCCCGAGTTTCTCGTGCTTTGTTTTCTATCACACTTGAGTTTTTGTTTCCTCGCGGGTTAGCCTTATGTCGGGCGTGTCCCCCTACAGGGGGGCTTCGACGAAACATAAAAACAATACCCCCAAAATACCCCAAGAAGGCCAAACAATATTCAAAAAATATTCCCCGGAATATTTTTGGATTATTTTTTGTTTATTTTTGCGTGTATTTTCATTTTTCGTCGAAAATCCCCCTGTAGGGGGACAGGCCCGACTTAAGGTTAGCCGCACGGCGCCAACCAGTAGGGACCTCCACGGGGCACCCGCCAAGGACCAGAGCGCGCCCGAGCCACGGGGACCCCGGCCACGCGGCGCGCCAGCCCGAGGGCAGCAACGCCCTGCCTCGCCGCCGACGAAACAAAAAATCAATACGGTTTTTTTCCTTGATTTCGCTTCCGGGGCGCGTCATCGCTTGGGGGCCAGCAAAAGTGGATCTGGGGCGCCAGCAAGGCCCAGCTCTTCTCGGGGGCGGCAGAGAGGGGGGTGATGACCAGGGGGCGGGGGGGATATCAGGGCGGGGGCGATGATATCTTCCCAGATTTCGCGGCTCATTGCGTACCTGCCCCCCCCCCCTGGGCCGCGCACGTGCCGCCGGCCATGATTTGCGCTCCCCCCTCTTGGACGCCCCCCTCTTGGCCGCAACCGATCTTCGGCTGGCTTTGTCCATCTGTGTTTCATCACGGGCTGTTCCCTTGACTTCGCTCCCCTGGCCCACCATCGAGCCTTGGGGGCCAGCCAGAGCGCATCCGGGGCGAAAAGCCTGGCCCCGGGAATGGTGGGGTCGGGACCTCCTGGGGGCCGCGCGCTACCGTCCGCCAGCCGCAACGGGCCATGGGGCGCCATCACCAGGCCCAGCTCTTCGACCAGGCCCGTCCATATGTGTTCCCATCGCGGGCTCTTCCCCTGAGGGTTCGCTTCCCTGGCCCGTCACAGGGCTCGTTTCGACCCCTCCGATCCGAGTCGTTTCGACTCCGATGGCCTCCGATTCCGATTCGATCCGAGGTGGGATTCCGATGTGGGCTCCGGTTCCTTATTGGAGGCGTACCAGCCTGTCGATTTCCGCCGTTTCGACTTTTCCCGACTCGGCTGCCGACTTCCGCCGATCCGGTTCCTTTCGATCGCCGATCCGACTTATCGATTCGATTCTGGGCTCTCCTGCCGTCACCGAGCCTTACTGGGGCCGTCAAAAGTGGATCCAGGGCGAAAGCCTGGCCCCAGGGAAAGGGGTTGGGACCTCCTTGGGGCCGCGCACCGACACGAGCAGATCGTCGGATATGTCTGGGAGGGACACCAGCCGTCGGGCAACACGACCACCCCCCGCCCGACAGCGCCCGGAGGTGGCTGCGCGGCACTGCCCCGGCACGCGCTGGAGCGACGGGGAGCGCTTGCAGCGCGAGTGCGGGCACAACCAGGTCAGGCTCTACCAGGACGGGCGGCTTTCACCGCACGTAAGTACCGCCCTGGGTGAGGAGCGGGAGGATCGTGATGAGGAGTTAGAGAAAGAGGAGGAGGAGGGTGAGTATACAGGCGAAGGAGGAGGAGGGGATTCGAAAAAACTTGATTGGTTTGTTCAGCGAAAAAAAACAGAAACTTAAGGTTGCGGAGCTCTGTGCGGATTCCTTGGATCTGCATTGGGGCCCCCTTTGCGCCGGCCCTGGCACGCACCGCGCACTAGGCAGGGGGGTCCAGCGCCGATCCGAGAAATCCGCACGGATCTCCAAAAGTTCATGTTTATACCATTGTTTTGTTGCTCTGTATACAGGTGCCGGCGCAGGAGGAGGAGCAGGATGGCGGCGGAAGCCGCGTTTGGCAGCCCAAGGGCCTGCGGGGGGCCCTCGCCGAGGTCCGGGGGCCGTCAGATGAGCGGTTCTGGACGAGCAATCGCGATTCTAGGCGTCCCAGTAGATGGGTCCGGGGGATGGCATCACATCCCCGATGCATCGCCGACGCATCGCCGATGCGTCGTCGATGCATCGGCGACGTTTGCGAGGCATCGGCGGTTTCAGCGCGGAGATAGTCAGGCTCCACATCGAACCGCATGTCCGATCCATCGGCGATGCGGCGCGATCCTCCGACCCGACCCCATCTACTCGGACCCCATCTGCTGGGAAGCCTCTGGCGAAGGGGTCCAGGCCTCTTGGGGGCCACGCTGGGCAACCGTCTTCTGTGTGCGCTGGGGGGGAGTTAGGGTGGGCGGCGGGAGCACGATCCCCGCACCTCCAAACTCCAGGGCCCTCCCCCCCCCTGCCCCCTCCCCGCCGCAAGAGTCCAGAGGGGGGGTTCGACCTCCCCCCCCCAAGCCCCCGCCGCCCGGCGCAGGCAAACGACGACGACGACGACGACGAGGACGACGACCTGTCCAACACCCCCCACTTGGAGGCGGCGTTCGACACCCGCCCCCCCCCTGGGCGCCGGCAGACGACGACGACGACGACGACGACGACGACGACGACGACGACGGGCGACGGCGACGGCGACGGCGACGGCGACGGCGACGCGACGACGGCGACGGCGACGGCGACGGCGACGGCGACGGCGACGGCGACGGCGACGGCGACGACCTCGACGACGACGACGACGACGACGACGACGACGACGACGAGGACGACGACCTGTCCAACACCCCCCACTTGGAGGCGGCGGCGTTCGACACCCGCCCCCCCCCCCTGGGCGCCGGCAGACGACGACGACGGCGACGGCGACGGCGGCGGCGACGGCGACGGCGACGACGACGACGACGACGACGACGACGACGACGACGACGACGGCGACGGCGACGGCGACGGCGACGGCGACGGCGACGGCGACGGCGACGGCGACGGCGACGGCGACGACCTCGACGACGACGACGACGACGACGACGACGACGATGACGACGACGACGACGACGACGATTTCGACGACGACGACGACGACGACTCCCGCCCGCCCGCTCAACCGACTCGCCAACGACGAGATGTCCCGCCCGCCCGACCATTCGACTCGCCCGCGACGACGTCGACGACGACAGCCGCGGCGACGGCGACGGTGACAGCGACGGCGACGACGGCGGCGACCACGCCCGTCGCGACAATGCCGGGGGAAGTGTGAGGGGTGGGCGATTCTGGAGATGGGGGGGGATTTCTGTTAGGGGGTGGTTGCCCTGATTCCAGAGAGAGGGGGGGGGGGAGGGGAATTTGCACCAACGACATGTGATTACACTTAAGTCGGGCGTGTCCCTCTACAGGAGGGATGTTCAAGAATGGTAAAAAGATAGTCTGGGGGACGATTGTTTGACCACTTTTGACTATTGAGGAGTAGTTTTTGACTTGTTCGTTCGTCCAAGATCCGCCTGTAGGGGGACAGGCCCGACCTAAGATTGCACAGAAGTCGTTCTCTCCCCCCCTCGTTTTTTTTTTTGTTTCTCTCTCTCTCTCTATCCCTCCCCATCCTCCGTCCTCCCTTCTTCCACATCCGTCCTCCTCGTCCTCTTCTTCCTCCTCCTCCTTTCCCTCCTCCTCCTCTTCCTCCTACTCCCCCTCCTCTTCCTCCTCCTCCTCTTCCTCCTCTTCCTCCTCTCCTCCTCCTCCTCCTCCTTCTCCTCCTCCTTCTCCTCCTCCTCCTCTTCCAGCCGCTCGGCGGCTCGGGGAGGGGACCGCCAGGGCGCCGGGCAGGAAGCGAAGCTCACGGCTTCGATCCTGGATCCTCGACCCTGCCTGTCGTCTTCGCTGCTCCTCGCGGGGGAAGGATGAGAAGGAGGGACGGAGCAGGGGAGGAGGAGGAGGAAGAGGAGGAGGAGGAGGAGGAGGAGGAGGAGGAGGAGGAGGGGAAGGAGGAGGAGGAGGAGGAAGAAGAGGATGAGGAGGACGGATGTGGAAGAAGAGAGGACGGAGGATGGGGAGGGCGAGAGAGAGGGAGGGATGGAGGGTGGAGGGGGAGGGGGAGGAGGAGGGGCGATTGAGGAGGAGGAGGAGGAGGAGGAGGGAAAGTAGGCAAAGGAGTTCGGCAATTTTCATGTAATGTTTGGGAGCATTGGGAGCCACAGATGGGTTAAGGCTGGAGAGTATGTAAATGTTATTGTATGCTTTTGTCATATTGAGTGCGCTTGTCGACGGCCACCCAGGGAGCAGACCCCCCCGCCGAACGCCCCTCCAGGAGAAGAAGCTACTGTGCGGTGGGAACTTGCGCGCGGGAGCGATTGCGCTGGGAGAAGACGCTGCCAGCCACAGCCTCATCGAATGCCCGCAGGACAGGGGGCAGTTGGAAACGGTCGTCGTGGTAGTACTAATGGTCGTCGTCGCTGTCGCCGCAGGGGACTGGACGGGGAGGAGAAGGAGGAGCAGGAGGCCGAGGATTGGGAGGAGGAGGAGGAGGAGTAGGACGACGACGACGACAACGACGTGCAAGGAATGAGAGCTAGATTGACGAAAATCCCAAGGATGGGGAGGACGAGGTTGCGGCAGAGGTTAAGCGGGGAGCCAGTGGAGGACAAGGCGGAAGCTGATGATGAGGGTGAGGAGAAGAAGCAGGAGGATGAGCAGGATGTGGTGAGCGAGCGGAGAATGATGAGAAGACGGAGATTATTGCGGACAGGAGGCCGATATGGAGGCGGAGGGTAAGATGCGGTGGCAGAGGACGGGGAGGATGAACTAATGGGGGAGGCCCAATAGGAAGATGGTGAGGAGGAAGGCGGGGAAGACGAGGCGGATAATGGGAGGATGTGGAAGGGGGATGGGAGGAGGAGGAGTCAGAAGATGAGGAGCCGGAGGACGAGGAGGACGAGAAGGAGGCGGAGAAGGAGGAGGAGAAGGAGGAGGGGAAAGAGAAGGAGTAAGACCAGAGTCGAGATTCTTTGGTAAAACGAGTCAGCGGTCCCCGCACACTCCCGCCCTCCCTCCGATGACATAAGAGTCAACTTTGCCACAGCTCGATTTTCGGATTGGAGCGCGCTTCCACCTAGCGAACAAAATGTTGGCGAATGGACAGCACACGTCGCTTCTTCATCCATTGCGAGACAGTGAGGGCCATATTCTGGAGTGCCATGGCCACCGGAAGCCACGGCCTTGACCGCGGCATCTGCGTTTGCGCTAGTAGCCACGCCCACGCGCTGCCGCCCCCCATCCCGCGATGCGAAGTTCAGGCCAAAACTTGAGACCAGCCTGCCTTCGCAGATGGCGGGCGTCGTGACTGCGACGCGCGTAGCGGTGCGAGCATCAGGCACGCGGGCGAGATCATCACCGTCTCGGAGAAACTGTAGAGCGTCATGGAGTAAGCTTGCATCCATCGGTCGCTCCAATATATCAATGATACCAGCTGCTCGATCATATCCAGGGCCTCTTCGCGCAGGCTGGGCGCGACGAACAAAATCCGGTGCCAGTCGTCCAGGAAGACTTCTGGGCACACTGCATTTCGCACGTCCGACATGTCTTGCCTGTCTCGTGAGAAGGTGTCCAGGTAGTCTTGCTGGGTGGCTGTCTGGGGCGAGGTGAAGGATGATTGGCGAGAGCCCGCTGACCGATCCCATTCGCTCATGTAGATTGCCTCCGCAATGTTCGCAAGTGGCGTGCCTGTATCCCTGTCGATGCACAGCTGGCGCCAGATCGCGACGAATGGCGCGCGCCATCTTTTGAAGTCCCGCGCGGAGTTGAACCCCATGCCTCGAAGGTCGTGCATCCAAGCTCCGCCCCAGCACATGGCCGCACGTCGCAGTTCCCAGCCTCGTTGGAACCGATCTGTCGGAAGATGTGCTGGAGGCAGGGGAGGCGGTAGTCCCATATCCCGCGGTGGTTCAGCACTTCCAGCCCAAGACAGAACGCTCGCGACAACTGCGTGATTGCACCACTCTTCCAGCCCATACGTTTTCCGGAGCTCCGGAGGCCCTCCAGGGGGCAGACGGGCAGCACGAGAGGCGCGATGCCCACGCAGCGGGCCCCCGACGAGAGCCGCGACACCAGGCACAGTTTTGCCACTTGTTCCTCTGGGCATCGGCCGAGCATTTTGGTGTCCTCCTCCTCGTCCTCCTCCCCCTCCTCTTCCTTCTCCATCTCCCTGCTCCTTTTCCTCCTGCTCCTCCTCCTTCTCCTGCTCCTCCTCCTCCTCCTCCTCCTCCTCCTCCTCCTCCTCCTCCTCCTCCTCCTTCCCTTGTTCCTCATCCGTAGCTCCCGGCCTGACCTTGGGCCCTGGGCAGGGGGCCCAGCCTGGGAACGCGGCGACATCCCGGGAGGCACTGGCCCGGATCGGTCGTAAGACCCCACCGGGGCCGAGAGGGCTGGCGCGCCGTCGGCGGCGCGCCCCAGCCCTGAGCAGTAGCGTGTTCCTCGTGTTTAAGTCGGGCCTGTCCCTCTACAGGACGATTTGTTTGACTAGTTTTGGGTGTTTTGGGAGTATTGTTCGACTCTTCTTTATTTTTAGTCCAAAATCCGCCCGTAGGGGGACACGCCCGACCTAATAAATTCGTCGGGCCTGTCCCTCTACAGGAGTACGGTAGGTTCGCGTCGTGTCGACCGGCGGCGACCCCGCCGCCGACGTTCAACGTTGAACGCCGACGGCGGCCCAGAATCGGTCGATGTTGAACGATTGGGCGTTGCGGAGACGGCCGATCGTTCAAGGTTGAACGATCCCTGCGGTGTCAAAAACCAACGCTGGGGTCGGCACGACACGAACCTGCCGTAAGATTCAAGAACAGTTTGAAAATAGTCTGGGGACGATTTGTTTAACTAGTTTTGGGCATTCTGGGAGTATTGCTTGACTTTTTTTATTTTTCGTCAAAAATCCGCCGGTAGGGGGACACGCCAGACCTAATTCTCGTGGGCGTCGTACCAGATCTCCGAGCTGAACGGCCTCTGCAAGTGCAACCTCTGCCAGAAAGCCACGCTAAAGTCCTGGAGTCTCGGCCCGAGTTGCCATGCGCAAGCTAATCTTGTGGAGCTCGTCTGGTTTGGCGGTGTGAAGGCGCCCTTGGACTTCGACCAGGGCCGCTCGAACTTCCTCGCCCGCACCTCGAAGTGTTTCTTGCAGCTGCTTAGTGTTGTCGACAAGCTTTTCAATGCTGGTGCACCACCTGCCAAGCTTGGAGAATTCATTATTGGTTGTTTTTTTCTGCCAAAGGGTCATGTCTCGCTCAGCGTTCTGTCACTTCTGTCGTGCCTCGGGTTTGTCGTTGTTTGAGGTGGCCGAGCCATTTGCTGGTACCTTCGTGCGCCGTCGTGATCTCCCGCTTCTGCGAGAAGCGAGGTAAGATGTTCGGTTCTCTCAGAAGAAATGCTTGTGAGTGGTCCTGGAGGGAGAGGTGCGATATCGTCTCGTTGAGCGTCTCGGCTCCTTTCTTTATCCCAGGATTGCTAGCCATACTTGCCTTCTTTGTTTGCCTTTATGTTCTCTTCTGCCTTTTTCGCACATCGGGTCCAGGTAGTCCGGCTGCTGGTCATTTGCGCACCAATGAGGTCCCACTATGCTTGCGACAGGGCGATCCCAGGGTGTTGTTTCGCACACGCACGGTATGGACAAACGACGGTGCCCTTTCCAGCGCCTGTTGTGTACCATTCCTTGTTTTTGCTGGTAGGGTCGTCTTGCTTCCAGTAGGCGTTTCCCCAACGACGTTTTCGCTTGACCCAAGCAGCATGGTGCCAATCACCAAGAGAAGAGCCGTTTGCCATTGGCCTCCACTTGGAGGAGATGTTGTTATGGAACGAGGGTGTCGGCTGCCGCAGTGGCGACAGGGTCGGTGGCCCCCGAAGGTTGGATGAGAATTGCTGCGGACTAGCAGCGTCCGATCAGGCACGAGGGCGCGGAAGCCTTCTCGTGCAATCATCTCGAGCCAAGATGGCTGCGGAAGGGGAGGAGGAGGAGGAGGCGGAGGAGGAGGGGGAGGAGGAGGAGGAGGAGGAGGAGGAGGAAGAGAAGGAGGAGTAGTAGTAGTAGGAGGAGGAGGAGGAGGACCCGCCAGCACAGACTTGGCCAGCCTAGCCCATCCAAGCCCCGCAGTAGCAAACATACCAACTCTATGCTGCGTCAGTCGTCTGCTTTATGCGTGCTCCATCTTTCGTACTGTTTGTACTTACACGGGCCGAGCGACTTTTCCCTTGAGCCCGAGAAGTGAGAAGCGCCATGCCGTTCAAGTGAACGGATGAATGTTGTGCTCGCTTCGATCCGAGGCGTGCCACATGTCATGGGAAGAGATGCGGGAGTTGGTTGGGCCCGCTGTGGCTTTCGAGCAACCGCAGGTTATGGGAGGAGCTTGTGTGATGGCCAGGCCCGCAGTGGCACTCGAGCACACGTCATGGGAGGGGTTAGGCGAGGTGGCTGGGCCCGCTGTGGCGCTCGAGCTTCCGACCTTGCTACTTTGCTGATCTTCGTCCTCCTCGTCCTCCCTCCTCCTTCTCTTCTTCCTACTCGTCCTTGTCCCCCTCCCTCCTCCCGCCTTCTCCCCCTCCTGCCTCTTCCCTCCGCCTCCCTCTTTCCTCCTCCTCCTCCTTCTCTTCCCTCCTCCCTCCCCCTCCCCCTCCTCCATCATGTCCTCCTGTATCCCCCTCCCACCTCCGTCCCCCTCTTTCCTCCTCTCCCCTCCCCTTGCCTCCTCCTTCCTCCCCTCTCTTCACCCTAGGCAAACTCTTCCCCCGCATAATTGTAGCATTGGTCAGCAGAACCGCAGCTCTGTAGATAGCACGGTGCCTCACGTGCAGTGCCCCGTGGATCCAATTTCTTGTGGGTCCAGGAGATGATTTATCATTGCATATCGGTTCGAGGCACATACATGGATCCAGTGGTTTCACACACGGGAAAGTGGACCCGCGCAACGCGGCAATAGGATCCGTGAAATTGCTCCATAACCAGAAACGGGCCCCATCGGATCCATAGGTGTTGTCATACTTGTATACCAAGAGGAAAAAGTTGCTCAGGAGGGGCAACAAAACACAGACACTAGTAAGAACATCTGGGAAACAATGGGAAGGCGTGGGGAAGAAGAACATCCAGAACATGTATGAAAGTATACGGAATCCTGGGATGTGTGTCTATCTATTTGCGTGTCCCTGGGCCCCCTGATTTTCGCCCTGGGGATGCAGGACCAGTCGCTGTGTGCTTCAGGGCGGCGGGAGGTCACGGGCCGGTCGGCGGAGCCGCGTTGCGGAGGAGCTTCGGAGCGGCTTGGCCTGCCCGTGAGGCCGTGCCCACCCGGGGCCTGGCACGCACTGCTGGCAGACCAGCTCGTGTCATAACACCCGTGTGCTGTGCACGCTCGGTTCGATCCCCTTCTGGTCGGCGTCTCCTTGCACGTACTTCGACTCGCTCGTCTCGCTTTCTCAATCTCTCTCTCTCTCTCTCTCTTTCTCTCCTTCTCTTACGGCCCTCCTGGGCCCGCTGTCTTTTTTCCTTTGTCTCTTCCGCCTGTACTGATTTCTGCTACACCCGCCAGGCAGGCATAATTTGTTGGCCTGCAGGCCCGAGCCGGCACTCATGCTTCCGTATTGTTTAGCACGAGTGCTATAGTCTTGACGCTCGAGCTTGCTTTGCGCATTTGCGCAAAAGGAGGAGGAGGAGGAGGAGGAGGAGGATAAGGAGGTCTGAGGAGGAGGAGGAGGAGGAGGAGGAGGGGGCGGAAGGGGGCTCGAGAGGAGGAGCAGCAACCGCAGGAGAGGGAAGTGAGCTGCGAGCAGACGTTCCCGCAGGAGCGGAGAGCGTCGTCGTTTCAGGGCCTGCAGTTCGGCATCTTCGAGCCCGGGCCAGAGAGGACCCCGCTTGGTGTGTGTATGTGTGGGGGGAAGGGGGATGCCCTGCAGAATGGGCCCTCTCCAACCCAAGCCGCGATGCACGAAGCTCGGTCATCTTCGCGGCCCTGGGGGTGACCTCAGAGAGCCGAGGAGGCCGCTGCATCCGCCTCGCACTATGGGTCCCGCACCCTAGGAGATGTTCGCCGGTGCGCATCAAATTCTAAGGTGCGGCTAGAGCGGGAGGAGGAGGAGGAGAAGGAGGAGGAGGAGGAGGAGGAAGAGGGAGAGGAGGATGAGGAGGATGATGATGAGGAGAGGAGGAGAGGAGGGGAGGAAAAGGGAGGAGGATGAGGAGGAGTGGAGGAGGAGGAGGAGGGGGATGAGGAGGAGGAGGAGAAACAAAGGGGAGGAGGAGGGGGGGAAAATGAGGATGAGGCAGGAGGAGGGAGAGGAGGGGATGAGGATGAGGAGGTGAGGAGGGGAAGGAGTAGGCGGAGGAGGAGGACGAGGATAGGCGGAGGAGGAGGAGGGGGGAGGGGCAGGAGGAGCATGAGGAGGAGGAGGAGGAGAGGGAGGAGGAAGGAGGGGGAGAGGAGGAGGAGGAGGAGGAGGAGGATAGGAGGAGGAGGAAGAGAAGGTAAGGAGGGGAGGAGGGAGGAAGAGAAGGAGGAGGAGGAGGATAGGAGGAGGAAGAGAGGAGGAGGAGGAAGAGGAGCAGGAGGAGCAGGAGGAGGAGGAGGAGGAGGAGGAGGAGGAGGGGGACGAGGAGGAGGAGGAGGGGGCGCGGGGCCCGTAGAGTGCGAGGCGGATAGGGTGGCCTCCTCGGCTCTCCGAGGTCGCCCCCCAGGGTTGCGAAGACGATCGAGCCTCGTGCGTCGCGGCTTGGGTTGGAGAGGCGCCCGTGCGAGCCAGCCTTTTTGTCACAAAGTGTTCGCACTTTAGCATCAGGAGGAAAACATCGCCATCGTCATCGTCATCGTCATCGTCATCGAGGCGCCATTCTCCAGGGCGACAGCGCGAGGGCGCGACGATAATCGCGAGCCGCGCCTCGCGGAGCGCGGTGCGCGATGTCAGGTACTCCACGCTCCCGCAAGGTCCCGAGGTCAATGAGAGGATCGGTCCCTCCTGGAGGTTTCGGAGGTCGAGATCCCAGCCAGGCTGAGCTGGGCTGCCTCGGGTGTGGCGGCCCTCTGCTCGGGGTTCCAGCGCGTCGGCAAGAAAGCTTCGAGGATCGATAGGGCGACGAGACCTGCTCATCCCTCTCCCCGTCACTCCCTCCTCCTCTTCCTCCTCCTCCTCCTCCTCCTCCTCCTTCCCTCCTCTCTCCACCCCCCCCCCGTCGATCCTGGGATTTGGAGGAAGCTTCCTGAAAAATGTACGGTCAGCAGCTTGTGATTAGCGTGTCGCTCGGCCGGTTCTGGCCAGCCAACTTGGCGCGGCGCCCAGGCACGTCCCAGTCCCCAGGCATCAACGTCCCGAGTTTCTCCCGAGTCTCCCGCGCCCCGGAGCGGAGCGACACGCCATCAGCTCGCAGTGCATAGCCTGTTATCGGGGCCGCTGCTGCGACGCGGTAAGCAAAAGTTCCTGACCGTAGGTAGGGGTTTCGAGGTTTCTGCAGGAGGGAGAATTTGGAGGAGTGACTGCGGATGGATCTGGAGGATTTGGAGGACGTCTATGGAAAGAGTTATGGGCCAAGATATTTCTAGACGGCTGTGATGTGCCCTCCTCCTGCTCCTCGTGGCGCTCCCGCTCCTGCCCCTGGTCTGGTTCCACTTCATCTTCCTCGCCTCAGAATTTCTGTCCAGGGCCAACATCAGGGGGGTAGGCTCAGGTGGGGAAGATCTCCAGCGTCGTGGTAGGTTGGGCGTGTGTGCGACTTGCGTGTGCACGTGTGATATGAGATGCCAGCGCCTCTTTTTTTAATCCCCTTCCCGGTTCCCCGCCCTTCACCCCCCTCTCCACTTGTTCATCACTCCTCTTCATCCTTCTCCTTCTCCTCATGCGCTCTCACTTCAGCATCCACGCGTCACGATCCAATCTGAGACACCGATGGAACTTACCAGAACAATTTGTTTCCCGCTCCGTTGGCCCTTCATGTTCCCCTCCCCGCTTCCCTGCTCATCCTCCTCAGGCTCCCCCCTCCTCATTCCCCCTCCTCTGCGACGACGACGGCCCCCCCTGGCCGCCAGAGGAACGTTGTTGCGTGGTCGCGCTTCGCCTCCTGCGACACCTGGGGTTGCAACGGGGGCGGCTGGGACGAGTCGGACGAGACGCAGCCCTGAGGGCCCCGCCGCCATGCCTCTTCCTCATGAATGACGTCTCCCTGTCGCTCCCCCAGGCGTGTCGGTAGGGCGGGCTGGGCGTTTCGCCTCAGACTTCCTCGCCGGCTCTGATCCTGAAACTTGACAGTTGAAACATTTGAACGGATGGAGGGCGGGAGATTTTGAACACGTCTGCAACAGCTTCACGGATGGAGGGCGGGTTGTTTTCAAATGTGGGTTATCGCCTTAGGGCGGCGCACATTCGTTTTCAAAGTTCGCAACAGCTTCACAAATGGAGAGCGGGTGGATAAAACAAAAAACGGCTCTCGCCTAGCGCCGCGCTCATTCGTTGGTAAAGCTTGCAGCAGCTTCACGGATGGTGGGCGGCCTCTGTTCAAAGTTCGGTTCTCGCTTTAGCGCCGCGCACATTCGTTCTGAAAGTTCGAAGCAGTTTGGAAGATTCGCATGGCCGACGTCCCAGGAACGGTGTCTGGACACGGTTTAGGATTGTCAGGACGCAACAGTCACGCTGATTCGCGGTGCTGAAATCCCAGGAATGGTGTTCTAGCACGACGGGGAACTGGCAGGACGCAGCAGTCATGTTGATTCAGTGCTGAACTCGTTGGTTCTGGCACAATTGAGGATTCTCCTCGATGTTCTTCTAATGTGCCACAACCCGTATATTCCTGTAGGATCCTATGAACAGGGAATTTGGGCGATGGTGTATTGCAGCATCGATGATGCAGCAAGAGCTACGGTGGTCCTCCTCCTCCTCCTCCTCCTCCTCACCCTCCTCCTCCTGCTCCTGCTCTTCCTCCTCCTCCTCATCATCCTCCTCCCTCCTCGTCCTCCTTATCCTCAGCTTTCCCCCCGCAAACTCTCTCACTCTCTCTCTCTCTCTTCCATTACATATGTATATATATAGATCATATATCATATAGATGATCCTCTCCCTCCTCCTCGACCGTTTCCTCCTTCTCCTCCTCCTCCTCCTCCTCCGCCACCTCCTCCTCCTCCTCCTCCTCCTCCTCCTCTCCCCCTCCTACCTCCTCGTCTCCTCCTCCTCCTCCTCCTCCTCCTCCTCCACCCCCTCCTCCTCCTCCTCCTCCTCATCCTTCTCCTCTTCCTCCCTCCTCCTCCTTCGCCCCTCCTCTCCTCCACCTCCTCCTCGTCTTCGTTCTCCTCCTCCTCCTTCCTCACCCTCCTCCCTCCTCCCTCCTCTCCTCCCTCTCCATCCTCCTCCTCCTCCCCTCCTCCATCCTCCCTCACCCTCCTCCCCTCCTCCCCCTACCCTCCTCCCTCCTCCCGTCCTCCCCTCCTCCTCCTCCTCCTCCTCCTCCTCCTCCTTCTCCTCCTCCTCCTCCTCCTCCTCCTCCTCCTCCTGCCTCCTGTTCCTCCGCGGCCTCTCGCGCTCCCCGGAGGCCGCGTTCCGCTGCTGCGACGGGCTTCCGCCACCCCTTCGGCGCTTCTGGCGGAAGCAGCGCTCGGGCCGCCTGCATGCCGCCGCGGCCCTACGGCCGCCCCCCAAGCGCCCCCCGGGGCGCGGGCGGGGCCCCGAGCTTGTGTAAACACAGAGGAGGAGGAGAGGGAGGAGGAGGAGGAGGAGGAGGAGGAGGAAGAAGAGGGGGAGGAGGAGGAGGAGAGGAGGAGGAGGAGGAGGAGGAGAGGAGGAGGAAAAAAGAGGGGGAGAGGAGGAGGAGGAGGAGGAGGAGGAGGAGGAGGAGGAGAGGAGGAGGGATGGGGAGGAGAAGAGGAGGAGGAGGAGGAGGAGGAGGGTCGGCGGCAAGCCCGGAGGGGGAAGTGCGAAGGGGAAGGCCTGCTCACCCAGAGATCCGACGCTCCCAGAAAATTGGAGCGGCGGGATTTTGGCAGTTGTCGGCCTCCGGGGGCACTTGCCGGGCCTCGGGAGCGTCAGACAACGACTCGGGACGACAGACCGGCCCGGGGAAGTGGTCCGGACCTCCGGGGCCCACGCATCGAAAAAGTTGGAGCAGCCGGGCATCCGGGAATTCGCCTCTTCGGGGGGGCTGCGCCTGGCCGGCGCCCCCTCCCTCTCGGGTCATGTGAAAAATCGGGACTGGAGGTTTTTCGCCTATGTTCTGGGGGCCCTTCCTCGGAGGTTGATAGACATACCCTGACACGTCGATTAAGGAATTGGCCGTTTTCGGTTCGCGAGAGGGCGTCGCGGCCGTCATTTTTGCGGGTCCAGGCCCGTCGGTTTCGGTCCCAGGCTGTTTTCACTAAGGGGAGGTTTACTAAAGGGAGGTTTGTCCACCGCCGACTTCCCAGCCCTCGGGACCGTCAAGAAGCGACTCAGGATGAAAACGGGTCCCGGGTCCCAGAAAATGGGTCGCGTCATGAAACGATCATGACGTCGGGGGTCTGGGATGCTGGCGTCGCAATTGTTGCGGGCCGGACGTGGTCGTCTTGTTTTTCGGGCCCCGGGGCTCTCACAGATGGGCCTGGCCCGAGACAAGTGTCGCAGGACGATGGGGTCTCGGGCTATGGGCGGGATTTTGTGTCTCGATCTCGCCGTTGTTTCGCGTCGTCGGATCTCAGGGCACCTGGGTCGCTACGGACTGGGCCAGGCCGGCCTGCAGCTCCACGAGGCACCCCACAAGAGGCGTGCGTTGCCAGGCGCCGAACCTTTTCTTCTGGGCCTTTACGAAAAATGTTTCTCCTCCTCCTCCTCTCCCCTCCTCCTCCCTCCTCCTCCTCCTCCTCCTCCTCCTCCTCCTCCTCCTCCTCCTCCTCCTCACTCCACGGCACGCCGAGCAAGCCGAGCCGCGACCTGCTCCCGTCGGGAAGGGATCCCGGCGAACGGTCTCCGGCCGTCTTCGGCCCCCCTCTGCAGAGGTGCCCACCGGGCGCGCGCAGGCGCCGCCGTCGGGGTCTCGAGGGCGCTCCGCAAGCGACGGCTCGGGGCAAGAAGCTGGTCCTGGGGAGGGGCAGGGCTCGAGCTAAACTCAGGAGGGAAGGAAACACACAGACACAATTAATCGTCGACTCCCAGAGAATATGGGAAAAGATGGGAAGTGGGGGGGAAGACGAAAACCTAAAGAATATAGGGAAATATGGGGAATAGTTTTATTTGTGTGTATTTATTTGTGTGTCCCTTGGCCCCTGCATAAACGGTGTTTCGGCGATTTCGTTGGCCGTTTTCGTTGTGATTTTGCTTCGCAGCAGCGGCAGAACGGAGACAGAACGAGGGAAAAGGAACACGGAACGGGAACGACAAACACTGTTTAGCTCGAGCCCTGGGGAGGGGATCTGGGCCTGCGGAGAGCCAGGCGGCGAGAAAGCCCTCCCGCAGGGCACCCCAGCAGCGGCAAAGAGGGGAGGAGGCGCGTCGAAGAGCAGGAGGTCGGCTATAGGGGAGAGCCTGCCCTGCGGCAGGGAGGAGGAGGAGGAGGAGGAGGAGGAGGAGGAGGAGGAGGAGAATGACCAGTGTAAACCCAAGAGTCATCAAGGATGTTGGAATAAGCCCTCCCTCCAAGCTCCCTCCTTCATAGGCCCCTACAGCGGCTCATTTCCATCGAGGGAACTGCCTCCTTGGAAGACATCCGTTTGAAGACCCGGAGGCATGCCAAAACATTTTTCTCGGGTGTTCAACGCCACGGGTCAACCTGATTGTTTCGTTTGGACGATCCTGAATCGTGCCAGAACGCCATTATTGGGACTTCAACACCGCGAACGAACGTCTCTGTTGCACCCTCAAAATCCGAAATCCTGCCAAGAAATCATCTCTGGTATTTTGATCATGGGCATTGAATTGAAACTCTTGCTCATATGTTTAACGAATGTTCGCGGTGCTGAGGTGGGAGCCACATTTCGAATAAGAGCGACGCTCGATCCATGAAGCCCTTGCACATATTATTAACGAATGTGCGCGGCGCTAAGGCGAGAGCCACATTTTGAAGACGGGTTCCTTTCAATCCGTGAAGCTCTTGCAACTGTTTAAAACGAATGTCCGCGGCGCTGAGGCGAGAGACACATGTTGAAAACCACTCGCCCCCAATCCGTGAAACTCTTTCAAGCTTTTAAAACGAATGCGCGCGGCGTTACGGCGAGAGCCACATTTTGAAAACCACCAGCTTTCCACCTGTGAAACCGTTGTTAATGTTGAAGCTTCAGGGTCATACATGGTGAGGACGTCTCAGGCGAAACGCCTTGCCCATCCTAAAAACTGGCCTCGGGGTGCGACAGGGAAAAGTTATTGATCAGGAGGGAAAGGAAGGAGGAGGGAGGAGGGAAGGAGGAGGAGGAGGAGGAGGAGGAGGAGGAGGGAAAGGAGGAGGAGGAGGAGGTAGAGGAGGAGGAGGAAGAGGTGGAGGAGAGGGAGGAAGAGGAGGAGGAGGAGGAGCAGGATGCGCGGCCTTGTGCACCTTAGTGTGTGCTTGTCTACAAGGGGTTGTGGCCGTCCGGGCCCATATGGTAGCTGGCGTTGTGGCGCGAGCAAGCTCCCTGAGTGAATTGTGAGGGTGCCTCCGGCGAAACGGTTGCTGGACCGGGCGGGCTGGGGTTCCCCGCCCCCTCTGCAGGACTCTTCCTGTGGTCCTCTTCTTCGTCTAGTAGAGTTCTCCGGCGGAGCGCCATCATGGCAAAACGACGTCGGGGCCCGGGCTCGCGACCTCTCCTGGGCGGCGCGCGCGAAGGGGAGGGTGGTGGGATGCGAGGGAGCGGCCTTATCAATCTCCTCCTCCTCCTCCTCCTCCTCCTCCTCCTCCTCCTCCCTCTTCCTCTTCTTCCTCCTCCCTCTTCTTCCTCCTCCTCCTCCTCCTCCTCCTCCTCCTCCTCCTCGTCCTCCTCAACAGCCCCGCGCCACGCCGGGCCGCCCGAGCGGCGGCGCGCGCCCTCGTGGAGTGGGAGGGAGCACGCCAGGTGCGGCGCACGCACATCGTGGAGGACACCGTGCTGGGCCCGGGGCTTGGCCGCCGGCCCGCGCGCCGGCGCCGAGCGCCGGCGGCGAGCCGCACGCGGGCGCCGACGGCAACGGCTCGGCGTCGCCGAGGAGGAGGAGGAGGAGGAGGAGGAGGAGGAGGAGGAGGAGGAGGAGGAGGAGGAGGAGGAGAGGGAGGAGGAGGAGGAGGGAGGAGGAGGAGGAGGAGGAGGAGGAGGAGAGGAGGAAGAAGGAGGCGGAGGAGGAGGAGGGGCAGGAGGAGGGGGAGGAGGAGGAGGAGGAGGAGAGGAGGAGGAGGAGGAGGAGGAGGAGGAGGAGGAGGAGGAGGGAGGAGGAGGAGGAGGAGGAGGAGGAGGAACTTGTCCGCCACTGCGCGGCAGAGGCGATCCGCACCCGCGGTCCAGAAGGCCAGGCTTTGGCTGGCACCAGTTTCAGGCGACCGCGAACAGGGATCCAGGGGGCGTGGGTTGGCGACGCGCCCCGTTTCCATGGGAAATCGCGGATTTCCGCCGCCGAGCGAGGCGGCGCCGGCCGCATTTGGGGGAGTGCACCTACGTAGGATCCATGAATTTGGCGACCGCGCGCTAAATCCATGGATCGCTAATCCATGTTTGCGTGCCCCCGATAGTTGTCCGGCGGCAAGAGCGGGGGACCGAAGCGGGGCGCGGCCGCGGAGGGCGGAAGAAGAGGGAGGGCCTTCACCGCGCGAAGAACTTGGACTGGGGTGGCCGGGCGGCCAGCCTGTGTTGACGCGGCCTAGCAGTGGACGCGGGGCGGTATCGCGGCCACTTCCAAGGTCTGGGACGCAGGCGACACCCCAACATGCATCCATGAGAACTGTTAGGAAAAGCCTGATTTCTCGTGGCCTCCAAACTTCTCTGGAGAAAATCTCAGCCACGCGCAGAGGGGTGGGGGGTGGAGGGAGGGCTTCTTAGAAACACCCCTGCTTCTTAGAAGACGCGAGCCTTGTCTATGAATGTAAGGCCGGCACCTTCTAAGAAGCAGCCTCCTTCTAAGAAGCCCTCCCTCCTCCCTCCCCCTGTGTGCGCCGCCAAACATCAGGAAGTTGGACTGGACGTGGGCGTTGTTTCCGAGCTGCTTTCCTTCGTGAGATCTTCGTATGTGTGGACCCGGACTACACTGTACAACGCTTGGAATGAAGTCGACGTTCTTGGCGTAGAGTTGTCTGATCTCTGAGCTAGGGTGCACTAGTATTAGCGCGCGTCGCGCCCCTCTGGGGCGCGACACGCGCGCCAAGAAATCTTTCAGCCGAAGCTCCGTGGCGGGTGCTGTCTGGCCATGCCGTTCGGGAAACGATATGCTACAATATGGTTATACTGTATGTTCGGGCCGGACGCGCGTCTCCAAAGAGGACAATTAGTATTGATATGTCTTTGCGCGCACCAATGTCGGCGGAACCAGCGGCGACGGCGACGACGGCAACCAAGGCGACCAAGGCGATAGCGGAGGCGACGTTTTCCAAAGTTTCTCCGTTTTTGTTACACAAGCAACAACAATCAGTTTAGGCCTGTTCGTTCCTACGGGCCCGCGTGCCATTGAACACGTAAATCCCAAACCATCGGTACCCGCCCTCTTCGTTTTCGATCGTGCCCCCTTGGTGGTATATCTTCCTTACCTGCCACGTGCATTCAATGCAGCTCTTAAGCAAGGCAATAGGGGATGGATGGAAGGGGGACGGAGGAGGATGGAGCATTAGAGAAATCAGCAGGAGGGGGGCTAGGAGCAGAAAGCACGTGGCAGAACTAGACGGTCAGATCGGGCGGGCGGGTCCCGAAGGCGGGCCCAGGCGACCAGGTCGAGCAGGTGGATGGCTGAAGCGTGAGCCTTGCATGACTCACGAGGAAGTGTCATGCGATAGCGCGATTTCCAAGTAAATCCTGAGAAAGGCGAGCGTGAGAGCGTGATTCCTGACTGTCGATGGCGCGGCGTCTGAATACATTGCGAGGAACTTCCACGCGAGAGCGCGGTTCCTGCATAAAGTATGACGACGTCCCGTGCGAAAACTCAATGTTGGAAGACGTTGTGAAGCTGTATCAGGCCGGATCCGTTGTTGTTGTGGCCTGGGTGCCAGGGGCACAGTTTGAGCATGACAGTTTTCCCCTGATATACACGAGTGTGCGAGCCCTGAAGGGGGCATTGCATTTTAAATTACCTTGGCGGAAGATCCAACCATATTCAGTTTTGAATACAGCCGTTGTGAGTATCGCACTCGGTGGAGCTCCCTACGGGGCCACGAAGCGTGTGAGGGGTATGCCGAAGAAATGGACGCGGCGGTGCCATGCGATCCCTGCCACTGGGGCGGGCCTTCGGCGGAGCTCCCTAAGGGGCCACGTTAGTTGTAAGGGGTGTGCAGAAATTGAGGCGGCGGTGCCATGCGAACCCTGCCATTGGAGCCTTCGGCGAAGCTCCCTATGGACACGCGAAGCGTGTAAGGGGTGTGCCGAAATGGAGGCGGCGGTGCCATGCGAATCGTGTCACTGGGGCCTTCGGCGGAGCTCCCTATGGGGCCACGACGCTTCTAAGGGGTGCGCCGAGATGGGGACGGCGCTGCCACGCGAACCCTGCCACTGGGGCCTTCGACGGAGCTCCTTGTGGGGCCACGAAACGCGTGAGTGGTGTGCCGAAGTGCAGGCGGCGGTACCATGCGAACCCTGCCAATCGGCGGAGCTCCCTATGGGGCCACGAAGCGTGTGCGGGGCTATGCCGAAGTGGAGGCGGCGGTGCCATGCGAACCCTGCCACTGGGGCCTGCGGCGGAGTTCCCTGGGGCCACGATGCGTGTGACGGGGTATGCCAAAGTGGAGGCGGCGGTGCCATGAGAACCCTGCCGCTGGGGCCTTCAGCGGAGCTCCCTGTGGGGCCACGAAGCGTGTGCAGGATGTGCCGAAATCGATGGGGGGCACACATGGATGAGGATGGTGGGATGAGGGTGATGATGGAGGAGGGAGGAGGGGGGAAGAGGGGGAGAAGGAAGGAGGAGGAGGAGGAGGAGAGGGGACGCGGGGCGCTATCTTTCAAAACGAGGACCCAACACCACAGCATGGTTGTGAAAAACACAATGTGCACCGGTGGGGGGGAATCAACAACAATTTTTGATTGTTCAAGAGTCGCCATTCCGTAGCCATTTTGGCTCAAGTTGATAGAGGCGTTACATTCGCAGGCGGCCCTATCGCCGACTGTCTTGTGTCGCAGCGATGCCCAAGAACAAGCTTGGAGGTAACAAAGCCAAGCGCGCTAAAGCTGATGCGCAGAAGGTGAAGAAGGAACTCGAGTTCAAGGAGGACGGCCAGGAGTATGGACAGATATTGCGCATGCTTGGCAACGGCCGTTGCGAGGTGAGCTGCTTCGACGGCGTCAAGCGTCTGTGCCACATTCGAGGGAAGATGCGAAAGAAAGTCTGGGTCAACCAGGGTGACATTGTGCTGGTATCCCTGCGAGATTTCCAGGACGAAAAGGGCGACATCATCGTCAGGTACACGCCCGACGAGGCTCGCAACTTAAAGACGTACGGCGAATTGCCTGACACCGTGAAGATCAACGAGACGGACATAGTGGACGAGCTCAGCGAGGATGGCGTGGAGTTTGACGAATCTGCTGGGGTCAACATCAACGATATTTGATCGGCACTGAGCGGACGCGCGCACCACTGTAGCATTCAGTTGCCGCGGTTCTTCGGAACTCCGCGGAGCGGTGAAGGGGAAGCTCGTCGCCGGGCCAGTGCAGCGGCGCAGCTCGCCTCCGCCAAATAATGTTTCTCGCTGCCCAGTTCGCCGCGACCGGCCGACTGCGCTTTCTCGAAAGGAGGTCGACATCGACTCCTAACTTTAAGTCGGGCCTGTCCCTCGACAGGAGAAAAGTTATTCAAAAATAGTCAAATATTTGTTTGGGGATGATTTCCTAAGTTTTTGTTGGGCACTTTTGGGTTTTCGTTAGACTATGTTTTGTCGTCCAAAATCTCCCTTTGGGAGGACATGCCCGACCTAATCCTAATTTCACCTCGCCCGCGGCCGGCGCGGCCCAGTACAGCAGGCCGCTGCTGGGCGCCGGGGGCGGGCGCCGCGGGGCTGACCGAGCAACGGCGGTTATCGCGCGCGCGGATGCGTCGCTGAGCGTTGGCGGCAGTAATTTTGCGGAGCGCGTGCGTCGGGCAGACGACGACAACAATAACAACAACGACAACAACGGCAACAACAATAACCATGATACCAGAGAAAAACCCTATCATAATCTTTTTAATGCTATAGGGCTATGGGACTATAGGGCTATAAGGCTATAGGGCTATAAGGCTATAGGGCTATAGGGCTATAGGGCTAGAGGGCTAGAGGGCTAGAGGGCTATAGGGCTATAGGGCTAGGGCTATAGGGTTTTAAGGGTATAAAGCTATGGAGCTATTAGGGCTGTAGGGTCATGAAGTTATTGGGGCTATAGGGCTAGAGGGCTATAGGGCTAGACAGCTATCAGGCTATAAGGCTCTAGGGTTATAAGGCTATAGGGCTACCGGGCGGGCACCCGGGCACCCCCGGGCACGCCCGGGCACCCGGGCACCCAGGCACCCGGGTACCCCCGGGCACCCGGGCACCCGGGCGTGCCGCGAAAATCGGCGGCACACCTGACCTAACCATATAAATCCGCTAGGACCCGTAAAGAGGCAAGCTCTGATTGGGGAACAACAACAGTAACAGCACCAGCAGCGACAACGAAAACAACAATCGTTTTAAGATTGTTCGCTCTTACTGGCACGCGTGTCTTGTATTCTGTATACCCCAACCCTCGATACCCGCCCACTCCGTCTTCGATTGCACCCCCTTTCAGGGAGAATATCTTCTTTGTCGGTCACTGACTAAAGTGCGAGGACCTCTCGAGCGAGAGCGCCGTTCCTGAGTTCGGGGGCCTCTCTGGCCAAACCAAGGGCTCTCGGAATACAAATTCAGAAACATCGAACGGGAACCCTTGTCGCCGTGTCTGCGACCCCACCAACTTGCCTGATTGACGAGAAATTTTCGAGTGAGAGTGCCACTCTTGAGTTCGAGGGCATCTCTGGCAAGGGCCTGGACGAATACATCTTGAGGAAGTATCAACCGAGAGCCCTTGTCGTCGTAGTTGGGCCTCCATCAATTTGACTGAATCGCGAGGAGGTCTCGAGCGAGAGCGCCGTTCCTGAGTTTGGAGGCCTTCCTGGCCAGGGGCTCTCGGAGTAAATCGTGAAGACGTATCGAGCAGGAGCCCTTGTCGTCGTGGCTGGGCCTCCGCCAACTTGATTGAATCGCGAGGAAGTCTCGAGTGAGAGCGCCGTTCCTGAGTTCGGGGCCTCTCTGGCCAGGGTGATTCGGGGGAAATTGTAAGGAAATGCCACAGTCACAAATTTGAGGATGACCCGCTCGGACTCGAACATGTTGCGCGGGCACCATCCAGCTTGGCTGGTGCGGATCGGAGGGGAGTCGCGGAGCACCGCGCGTTGAGCACTCCGACGACTCCGATTGACACGGAGTCGGTTTTCGTTTTCCCAGTGCGGACCTCGCCCATCCGCTTGGGAGTATGTGGGTAGCTTAGCGTCGAGGGCTTTTTCTGATAGACATGGAGCTCTGGGGGCCCCTGTGGACCTCAAAGATCGGCGAGGGGTGCGCGCCAAGACGTGTGTCTTGTAGCAAGATGTCTTATTTGGCGTGTTCGCTGTATGAGATGCCCTCGCGACGTCCCGCCGCCGTCCACCCGTCCGTCCGTCCGTCCTCGTCGTCCTCGTCGTCCTCGTCGTCCTCGTCGTCGTCGACGTCGACGTCGACGGCGACGGCGACGGCGACGTCGCCGTCGCCGTCGCCGTCGCCGTCGCCGTCTCTGGGGGCAGCCCGTGCGCTTCGTCGTCGTCGTCGTCGTCGTCGTCGTCGTCGTCGTCGTCGTCGTCATCGCCGTCACCGTCGCCGTCGCCGTCGCCGTCGCCGTCGTCGGGGGTGGCCCGTTGGCCCGTCGCCGTCGGCGGCGCCGTCGCCGTCGTCGTTGGGTGGGGGGCGTCCTGGTGGCGCGCGCCCGCTGCAGACACCGCGCCTCCCGAGGCCTGCAGGGCAGGAGCAAGGAGGAGCTGCGGCTCCCGCTGAAGGCTGGCTGGGCCCCCCAAAGCGCGGCGCGGGGTGCCGGGTCATTCTATTCCTGCCCAGACATAACCGCGCCGCGGAGACATCGGGGCGGGAGGTTCCCGGCCGTTTTCGGCCCGGGGGGGCCCTCGCCGGGCCCCAGGAGCGTCAAAGAACGGCTCAGGACGACAAGCCGGTCCCAGGGAAGGGGTCGGGATTTCCGGGGACGCCGTCTTGAAAAACACAGGGCGTCGCAGGCCTGGACCCCTGTAGGCGTGATCCTTCGCCGGAGGCACCTGTGGTGCGGGCCCGCAGCGGTCCCCCCTGGCAGTGGCCGGCGCGCCACGACCGGGCCCGCCCCCGACCCCCGGGAAGCCGCGCACCACGGGTCACTCGTGCCAGCGGGGCTTTCTCTCGGCGGCGAGCAAGGGGGGCAAGGAGAAGGAGAAGGCCTTGCCAGAAGGCCGCGGGGCTTCTCAGGAGCATTCGCGCCTTCTGAGAGTTTCCTGCGTCTTCGGGGAAGGCTCAGAAAACTCTTCAGAGGGCCAGGGGACTTGCCTTCTGAGAAGACCTTCTCCTTCTCACTTCCCCCCTCGCTAGCCGCCGACTCTTGCGTGTGGGCGAGAGGTGTGCCAGCAGGCGCTCTGGCTGCTCCCCCGGCTCGCCCTCGCCGTCCTCGCTCTCGCCGCCGTGGGCCGGGGTCGACGAGGCGGGGGGCGACGCCGGGGGTGTGGGGTCTCCAGGCGGCTCGAGGACCCAGATCTCCGACGATCTGATCTTTGCCAGCCGGCGGTGTCTCCTCGATGTCGGCCCTCGGGGGCCGTCTCCGGGCCCCCGGACTATCGGACACGAGGCGGGGCGAACATCCATCACCTCCGGGGGGGCTGTCGGGACTTCGGGGCCGAGACTTGAGAAACACATCGGCGGACGTCAGGGATGGCGTCTTGAGGACATGTCGGGCGGGCCCAGGGGGCGCGACAGCTCGTTGCAGAAAGCTCCAGAGCGCTCTCTCAGAGCGTTGATGGAGCGCTCTGCAAGGGCCGCGGCGCCCGACGCGTCCTCCAGGACCGCTGGATCTCACAGATCCCCGACGTCTCCTGGTCCGATTTTTTGTCCCGGTCCTGGCATCGTCTCAACTTCAGCGGCTGCAGGGGCAGATGGCGCAGGGGGACCTTGACATCCCCGCGTCGTGAACGGATCACGACGGACCGTTTTTGGAAGTCGTCGGGTTCCGGGGCCCGCACCAGGCCCCAGGACCGCAAAAATCATTTCAGGTTGAAGGGACGGCCACCCGGAAGATGGGGGACCACATGCGAACCCTACCCCTACCCCCCACGATTTCTGAGGGGGAGGGTGGGATTCACCTCGTTCGCATGCGGCTGGAAGAGGTCTGGACCCTGGGGAACAGCGTTGCGCAAGCGCCACGACGTCGGACGCATGAGTCTCGGCGACTGCGGCAGGGGCGTGAGGCATTACGAACTGCTTGGGCTCCGCGGGCGCGGGCAGGGTCGGAGCCAGGCGAGCGCGAGCGGGCTGCGCGAGCGTGAGGCGGGCCCCCGTGCAAGTGGGCTAGGTGGGAGGGGGCAGCCGAATTGAGGAGGAGGAGGAGGAGGGGGAGGAGGAGGAGCAGCAGGAGGAGGAGGAGGAGGAGGAGGAGCACCAGGAGGAGGAGCAGGAGGAGGAGGAGGAGGAGGAGCAGGAACAGGAGGAGGAGGAGAGGAGGAGGAGGAGGAGGAGGCGAGAACGGGCGGTCCGCCGTGAGGACAAGCTCCCGCGCCATCGAGGAGGAGGAGGAGAGGAAGGAGAGGAGGAGGAGCCCGACGCTCCTGGCCGTCGGGCGGCAGGGGTTCACAGTATCTACGTATCCTCCAAGTGCTCCGATCGCCCATGCGTTCGGCGAGGCTCCCACAAGCTCCTGCAGCACCTCCAGGAAGAGGATGACCTCCTCCTCCTCCTCCTCTTCGACTAACCTCTTACCACCTCCTCCTCTGCCTCCTCTCATCCTCCTCCTCCTCCTCCTCCTCCCCTCCTCCTCCTCCTCCTCGGCCTCCGCCTCCTCCGCCTCCGCCTTCTCCGCCTCCGCCTCCTCCGCCTCCGCCTCCTCCGCCTCCGCCTCCGCCTCCCCGTAGCGGGGGGGCGAGCGGCGAGCGGCAGACACCCGGGGGAGGTGGCCTTCGAGGGCGAGGAGGGCGTGGACGAGGGCGGCGTGCGCCGCGAGTTCTTCCAGGCCCTCGGGGCGGGCCTCGCTCGGGCGTCGGGTCCCTCCTCCTCCTCCTCCTCCTCCACCTCAACCTCCTCCTCCTCCTCCTCCCTCCCCTCCTCCTCCTCCTCCTCCTCCTCCTCCACCTTCTCCTCCTCCACCTCCTCCCTCCCTCCCTCCCTCACTCCCGCCCCTCCCGCCCTCCCTCCCTCCCTCCCTCCCGCTCCCTCCTCCCCTCCTCCCTCCCCCTCCTCCCTCCTACCCATCCTCCCCTCCTCCCTCGCTCCACCTCCTCCTCCTCCTCTCCTCCTCCTCCTCCTCCTCCCTTTCTCCTTTCTCCTCCTCCTCCTCCTCCTCCTCCTCTCCTCCTCCTCCCTCCTTCTCATCCTTCTCCTCCTCCTCCTCCTCCTTCTCCACTCCTACCTCCTCTCTCCACCTTCCTCCTCCACCTCCCTCTCCGCCTCCTCTCTCCTACTCCTCCTTCACCTCTCCTCCCCTCCTCCACTCCGCCTCCTCATCCGCCTCCTTCCCTCTTCCTCCCCTCCTCCTCTCCCTCCTCCTCCCTCCTCCTCCTCCTCCTCCGTCCTCTCTTCTCCCTCTCCTCCTCCTCCTCTCCTCCTCCTCCTCCTCCCCTCCTTACCTCCTCCTCCGCTCTACTCCTTCCTCCCACTCCTACTCCTCCTTTTCCTCCTCCTCAACCTTCCTCCTACCTCCTCGCTCCTCCTCCTACTCCCTCCTCCTCCTCCTCCACCTCCTTTCTCCTACTCCTCCTCCTCCTCCTCCACCTCCTCCTCTCCTCCTCCTCCTCCTCCCGTCCTCCTCCTCCTCCTCCCTCCTCCTGCCTCCGCCTCCTCCTCCTCTCCTCCTCCTCATCCTCATCCTCCTCCACCTCCTCCTCCTCCTCCTCATCCTCATCCTCATACTCTCCTCCTCCTCCTTCCTCCTCCTCCTTTCTCCTCCTCCTCAATCTCCTCCTCTTCCTCCCTCCTCCTCCTCCTGCTCCTCCTCCTCCTCTTCCTCCTTCCTCCTCCTCCTCCTCCTCCTCATCATCATCATGGTTTGTACTTGTACGTGAATCCTGTGCGCCACGTCGGATGTCAGCCGCTCGACCCCCAGTCGACCCCGAACAGTGTTTGAACAGTAGTCGATCAAGCAAACGTGTTTCAACATGTGTTCGCTGCAACTGCGGTGGCTCAAGCTTCAAAGGCTCGTGCCACCGTCCCGAGGGCTGCGCATGTGGGACTGGCTGCTGCAGAGGGGCCCCGAGTATTTGGCCCAGGGTGTCGTGAACTACGCGGCACGCTGCCCTGCCATCCCCGCCTGCCCGCAGGCGACGTGTCCGTCCTGCCCAGGGCTGACGTGCGGGGACTGTGTGGTGCCGGCGTGCCCGGCGTGCCCAGCGTGCCGACCGATCACGGTGCCGGCAGGGGCTGCCGCCTTCGCCGAGGCGGCTGGTGCTCGCGAGGAGGCCGCGAGCTGTGCTGAGCCTGGGTTGGGCTACCTCGCGTACCTGATCTTCCTCTTCGGCGTCGTGGTGGGCGGCGTCCTGGCGGCTGGAGGGCTTGCCGTGGGCGGGCTGCTGCGCCGGCTGTGCTGCAGGCCCCTGAAGGACGCCGTCAGCGAAAATGAGCTGGAGTTACGTCCTGTACAACGTGGAAGGCCAGCCTCTCTGGCACCAGCGTCGGGTGTACGGGGTGGTGGCGCACTCGGGTGGTAAGAGCTACGTGGCTGCCACCGCCGACGCACACGTCTACCCGGAGGACTGGTCGCCGACCTCAGAGGACGTGCTGGCAGTGCGCTGGTGCAGCGAGTTTCGAGATCTGCCGGCCGGTGTGCCCAGGGATCGGGTGTACCGATTTCGACGGGAGCCGACGGCCGCGCGGGACGCCGCCTTCCGGCAGGCGGCCGAGGACGAGGCTGAGGCCGAGGGTCGGCGCCTGCTGGCAGCAGCGGGCGGCGCGGCGCCGGCGGCAGGCTTCGTGTGGCTGCTGCCGATTGACGCCGCGGGCCAGCTTGTGGACGGTGCCGGCGGAGCAGGGGCCATCGTGCCTGCAGGCGTCGGCCCTCCAGGCGCACCTCCTGTGCCAGGAGTGGCCCAGCCTGCCGCAGCCGGCGCCCCAGGTGCCCCCGCAGCGGCGGCCGCGCCCCCGCCCGTGCAGGTGGGGCCCTTGCAGGGCGTCGCGCCGGCAGCGCCTGCCGCAGGCGTCGTGACGTCATGGAGGGCTGCCGAGAGCGGGGGCGGCTTCCGATTCGGAGACCCTGTGCCAGGCCACGTGCGGAGCGCCCAGGCGATCGGCTCGAAGGATTTCCACCTCTTGCCGGACGGGACCGCCCTGTTCGTGGAGGAGGTGACCGCTGCCACGGAAGTCGCCTTCCTCGACAAAGGTGTGTTCGGCGACGCCCGCATCATGGCGGCCCGTCGCAACAGGCAGGGGCGGCGAGAGCGTACCTGGGCGGAGATGGTCGCGGCCGTGGTGCAGGAGGAGTTCAGCAACGACTGGGACTTGCCAGGGCCAAGGTCTGTGCTGTGGTGCCTGGAGTTCATCAACCATGAGGGGCTCGGACTCGACGGGCATCACGAGAGGTTTCGTGTTCAGTGTAAGTTGGAGTTCTCGAGTTGGGGTGTGTCCGAGCATTACAATGTCACACAGGCCCTGAAGTTCGGCCTCCTTCACGACCAGCTGGACGGCACCAATCTGATGATGGTGGAGTCCATGTTTCGCCGACTTCAAACGATCGAGTTCGCACATTCCGAGCGGGCTCGAGAGCAGGAGGCCAAGGGCTACGGAGGGAAGCTCAGTCTCGAGGAGCAGATGGCCTTTGCGGGCACAGCCCGCGCAGGTGGCTCGCTGATGATCTGCCCTCTTCTGCTGGATTACGTGCGGGGCGAGGTCGAGCGCGAGGCCTCGCTTGCCAAGAACTCGCGCAAGGCCCGAGAGGAGCGAGATGCTGCCCGGGCCAAGGATAAGAACAAGAAGGATGCCGGGTGAGCGCCTTGTGTCGAGGCCACATCCGGTTGCGCGGGCTGCGGGCATGACGGGACCCTCAGCTCCGCGCGGCCCGCCTGACGCAGGCGGGCCAGGGCTATCCCGACCTTCGAGTGATCCTGTGAGCCAGGCCCCAGGGCACACGAGCGAAGCTTGTCAATTAGTCCCCCCCTCCTTGCCTTCTGTGCCTCCCCCTCTCTCTTCCTGGAAGGACTGGATGCGTGACCCGAGCCGTCAAGTGCCGCGTGAGTTGTTCCCTCTTCCTCGTCCTGACGTTTTCAGGGTCGACCGCGCGCGGGCTAATGAGATGTCTCGTGGCACGCGGCAGAGGTTGCGTAGGCGCCAGGCCGAGGAGCGCGAGGTTGACCGTGCGCTCTGGGGCCTTAACTCGCTTTGCACTCATCAGCCGCAGCCCCGCGACCGCGCCTCCCCGGGCAAGGGGCCCGAGCGGGGCGCCGAGTGCGGATCATATCATCTTTTTTCTGCCGGTCAGGCCGGTGTGCTGGATCGTGTCCGGCGCGCCGTGCACGACCTTGGCCCTCCTCCTGTGGGGGCCTCCCCCGCTGAAGCTCTCAGGAAGCTTCGCGTGGCGAGCTGGTACGACGTGGACAGTACTACGCTCGGTCGCTACTCTCTCGCCGACGTCTCACTGCCTTCAGGCGACGTCAGGCCTGTGCCTGTGTCTGAACTTTGGGGCGAAGGCGGGTGCCAAATGGTAGAGGACTTCTGCCGCTTGAATGTCGTTCCGCCGGAACAGTCGCGAGCCCGTCTCCGCTCGTCAGGTGTGGTCACTCCCTACTCCGATCCCAAGCTTAGACACCCTCGAGCCTTTGAGGAATTCATGTCGGCGTTGGCCGCACGCGGAATGCTTGATTTCTCGCTCGAGGATGGTGAGCGAGTGGAGCCGTTTTTTGTGACCAAAAAGAATGGCAAGCTCAGGCTTGTCGTAGACTGCAGGCGTTCAAACTGTCATTTCACTGAGGCCGGTGGGGTCTCGCTCTGCACTGGTGAAGGGCTTTCCGCCATCGAGCTGGGAGCCAACGAGGATATCTTCGTTGGTGGTGCGGATTTGAGTGATGCGTTTTACCACATGGGGCTCCCCAAACCCCTTAGGAAGTATTTTACTTTTCGGCCCGCGCGGGCCGCGTCTGTAGGGCGCACGGAGATTGGGGGTCGAGCTGTGGCTGCGCACGAGAAGGTATACCCTAGGCTCGCTGTCATTCCCATGGGATGGTCTTGGGCTTTATGGATGTGCCAGAAGATACACGAGAGGATTATGGAGGCAGCTGGCTCGGACCCCAAGTTTAGGATCACCGACAAGACGTGCCCCCCAGACCTCAGCCAGCCGTGCCACACGCAGTATGTGGACAACTACATTGCAATCTCGACCAACCGGGACAACGTGAGAAAGTCGGTGTCGTCTGCCATCACCGCTCTGGAAAGTCGGGGACTCGTCGTTCATGAGGAGGATCATGGTGGGGAGGAGGGTACTACTGCCAAGTTGCTGGGTTGGGTCATTGATCGTGGGAGTGGGCGACTCGTTGCCTCGCCGGAACGTCTGTGGCGCGATCGGCTTGCGATTCGAGCCCTTCTCGCTCGTGGTCGGGCCAAAGGTCGAGATGTTGAAAAGCTTCTCGGGCACCTTGTTTTCATCTCCTTGGTTAGGCGGGAGGGCCTCAGTTTGTTCTGGAGTTGTTATGGATTTATTCACAAACATTACGACAGCGACGTTGCCTTGTGGGCCTCTGTTCGGCGTGAACTCAGTATCTGGGACTCTATCTCTCCACTCCTTTATCGCGATCTTCGGGCCGCTTGGGGGGGCGAGGTTGTCGCAGTGGATGCCAGCGAGTGGGGCCTCGGGGCCTGCTCGAGCCGCTGCGGGTCCTCGCTCTGTTCCCAGGTCGGCCGCACATCCGAGAGGTGGCGCTGGGGTCGTGGGGGCGCTCTTGGGGGTCCTCGTCGCCACGCTGGGCGCTGGGCTCGGAATGCTGCCGCGGCGGCGGCCCTTGAGGGGTCCGCCGAGGAGGCCGCCCCTTGGATGTGCGGCCCCGACGACACCCAGGAACCTGCTCGTTGTGATCTTGATGCTGGGGCCCCCGGGGACATCTACGGGTTTGGGCGTCTACCCAGAGCCGATGATTTTCCTGAAGTTCCCAGGGAAATGATTGAGCAGGATTGGAGGGTGGTGGGCCGTTTCGAGTGGCGGAAGAAGGGCGAGAGCATCCCGGTCCTGGAGGCCCGCGCTACCCTGTACGGCTACAGGCATCTTCTGCGTAGTCGTCGTAATCATGGTAAACGTCTCGTTGTGTTGGGAGATTCGATGAGTGTGGCGGGAGCTGTGTCTAAGAGCCGCAGTGGGAGCCGTGCGATGCTGTACGTGACGCAGAGCATCGCCGCCCTCTCCCTGGCGACAGGCTCCTCTCTCCACTACCGCTGGCTCCCCTCGGAGTGGAACGCAGCCGACGGTCCCTCAAGGGGACGTTGGCGACCCGCAGCGCCCTCGGCGCTTGCCCCGCGCGATGCTCGCGCGGGCGGCCCCGGTGCCCGCCAGCGCGGGGGCGCTGGTGCAGGTGCTGCCGACGGGACTGCTGGCTCGCGGACCCCAGGAGGTTGTGGCCGCTCCGCTGGCGCTGGGCGGGCCGCCGCGCACGGCGCCGGCGCCGACCTCGAGCCGGCATACGTCGTCAGCATGTCTCCGAGTGCCGGCAGTGCGGCAGCAGCGTCTCGTGCGGCGGCGGCCGGCCGCCTCAGCAGCCCCCCCGGGCTCGGTCGCGCCCGTGCGCCGCAAGGTGAGCCAGCGAGCCTCGCGGGCTGCGGCTCGGCGGTCCACAGCAGTGCGGCTGCCGGGTATGACAGTGCTGGAGGCGGCGTCCATCAAGCCGAGGACGCGGGACCGCTACCAGAAGATCTTCGCCGATTTCTTGGAGTGGGCGAACGGCCGTCGGCTGACGACCGAGGACCTGGTGGACCAGGCGATCGCGGAGTGGCTGGACGTCCTCTACCTAGGCGGCGAGGACCTGAGTGCAGGGTCCTGGGCGTATGCGGCGGTGACTTTCTTCACCGGCCTGAACAAGGCGTCGGGTGCGCTGATGCCTCGGTCGCGGCGCGCCCTCCAGGGCTTTCGCAAGCTCGCACCACCACGCTCTCGATTGCCGATGCCCTACATGGTAGTGGCCATGGTGGTGATGGAGCTCCTGGGCCGACGGCGCTACCAGAGTGCGCTCGCGGTCCTCCTCATCTTCGAGCTGTACCTGAGGCCCGGAGAGGCGTTCCACATCAGGGCGGTCGACCTGGTCCCGCCTGTGGCGAGGGTCAGCGGAGCGTCCCACTGGTGCGTGACTCTCCATGCCGCCGAGACCGAGAGGGAGTCCAAGACCGGCGAGTTCGACGAGAGCCTGTCTCTGGATCTCGGCCGGCAGTCCTTCATCGGGCCCGCGCTCGACCTGATGCTGACGCGCCAGCTGGGCACGGACTGGCGGCGCGCAGAGCAGAGGAACGTCGGCTCCGGCCTGCACCTGGCGGCGCCGCTGTTCACCGTGACGCTCGACGAGGTGACGAGGGACTTCAAGGGGGCCGTCGAAACGCTGGGGGTGGACATCGCGCTGGGCGCCGCCCACATGTACATGCTGCGGCACGGCGGCGCCTCGCACGACTACGCCTCGGGCTGCCGCCGCTTGGAGGACGTGCGCCGTCGCGGGCGCTGGCGTTCGTGGTCCTCGGTCAGGCGCTACGAGAAGGGGAGCAGGTTGGGTCAAGTCGTTCACAAGCTCGGGCCGGTGCTCCAGGCCCACGGCAAACTCTGCGTCGAGCTGCTGAGCGAGGTGGTGTCTGGCCGGCGCTGTCCTGCACCATTCGCCTCCGGCAGCGGGTCTTCGTCGAAGTCTTCTCGGGCAGCGGCCACCTCTCGGAATCGATCTCGAGGGTAGGTGTCACCGCCTTGCTGTGGGACATTAGCCTCGGCGAGTCGTACGACCTTAGGTGCAAGCGCAATCGCCTCCTTCTCCTCGGGTGGGTGAGGGCTGGGCTGGTGGCGGGCGCCCATGTGGCCACGCCTTGCTCGTCCTTCAGCCGGGCCCGAGACATCCCCCCAGGTCCCCCCAGGCTCCGGAGCGATTCGGAACCTATGGGCCTTGGAGGGCTGTCCCAGGCCGATCAGGAGAAGGTGGCGATTGGGAACATGCTGATGCTGTTTTCCGCTTCCCTTGTCCGTGAATGCAGGCAAGTTCAGGTACCGTGCTCACTGGAGAACCCCGCCAGAAGCCGCCTCTGGATTTGCCCTGCTATGCGACGTCTCGCCCGTGCCCAAGGCATCGCTGTTGTCGTCACCGATTTTTGTCAGTGGGGGGTGCCCTGGAAGAAGAGCACCACCTTCTTGTGCTACGATCTTGACCTGGCCGAGCTTGAGGCGGCCAGATGTCTTGGGAGTAAGAGAGGCATTTGCAAGCGTACCGGTCTTCCCCATCAGCAGCTCCAAGGCAAAGATCAGACCGGCAATTTCTACACCAAGCTTGCTGAACCCTACCCTAAGAAGTTATGTAAAGCTATCGCGGACGCTTATTACAATACTTGGGCCAAATGTCTCGGGGAGTCCTTTGGGCGCTTTATGCAGTAAAAGGTTATGCGGCTCTGGCCAGTCTGCTGTTTTGGAGTCAACAGGTTTTGCAGGTGCTTGACGTGATTCGGTCGCGGCCTCATGGAGGGCCGCTTCAATCGTTCTGGTACTCGCGGAGGCTCGACTTCTTAGACCTCGTGGTTGTCTGGCTGAGAAAGAGACGGGAGCTTGGGATGGTTTGTACTTGTACGTGAATCCTGTGCGCCACGTCGGATGTCAGCCGCTCGACCCCCAGTCGACCCCGAACAGTGTTTGAACAGTAGTCGATCAAGCAAACGTGTTTCAACATGTGTTCGCCGCAACTGCGGTGGCTCAAGCTTCACCTCCCTTCCCCCGACCTCCACCCCTGATTTAAGGTTTTAGCTTGTGTCTGGTTTCACGCAGCAGGTGCTTGACGTGATCCGGTCGCGGCCTCATGGAGGGCCGCTTCAATCGTTCTGGTACTCGCGGAGGCTCGACTTCTTAGACCTCGTGGTTGTCTGGCTGAGAAAGAGACGGGAGCTTGGGATCATCATCCCCCTTCTCCTCCCTCCTCCTCCTGCTCATCCTCCTCCTCCTCCTTCTCCTCCTCCTCATCATCATCCTCATCATCATCATCATCATCATCATCAGCATCATCACCATCATCATCATCATCATCATCATCATCCTCATCCTCATCCTCATTCCTCATTCCTCATTCCTCATTCCTCTCCCTCTCCTCCTCCTCCCTCCTCCTCCTCCTCCTCCTCCTCCTCTTCCTCCTCCTCCTCCTCCTACTCCTCCTACTCCTCCTCTCCATTCCTCCTCCTTCCTCCTCATTCCTCCTTCTCCACCTCCTCATCTTCCTCCTCCTCCTCCTCCTCCTCCTCCTCCTCCTTCTCCTCCTCCTCCTCCTCCGCCTCCTCCTCCTGCTCTTCTCCACCTCCTCCGCCTCCTTCCTCCTTCTCCTCCTCCTCCGCCTCCTCCTCCTCCCCTCTCCTCCTCCCTCCCTTTTCTCCTCTGCTCCTCCACCTCCTCTCCTCTCCTCCTCCTCCCCGCCTCCTCCCCTCCCCTCCTCCGCCTCCCTCTTCCCTCCCTCCCTCCCTCCCTCCCCCCCCCCCTCCTCCGCCTCCTCCTCCTCCCCCTCCTCCTCCTCCCTCCTCCTCCGCCTCCTCCTCCGCCTCCCTCCTCCTCCTCTCCCCCCCTCCCTCCTCTCCTCCTGCCTCCATCCTCCTTCTCCTCCTCCCTCCTCCCGTCCTCCCCTACTCCCTCCTCCTCCTCCTCCTCCCTCCTCCTCCTCCTCCTCCTCCTCCTCCTCTTCTTCCTCCCTCCTCCTCCTCCTCCGCTATCCTCCTCATCATCATCATCATCCCTTCCCTCCTCACCGTACTCCCGCCCTCCTCTTCCTCTTCCTTCTCCTCCTCCTCCTCCTCCCTCCTCCCTGTACTCCCTCCTCCTCCCTCCTCCTCCTTCCTGCTCATCCTCCTTCTCCTCCTCCTTCTCCTCCTCCTGTGTTCCGACGCGCGGCCTTGCGTCGTGGGGAGGGCGCTGCGGGCACCAGGGCAAGCGCCGTCTCGGGCGCGGTGGGTTTGCCGTGGGTTTGCCGCGGTTGGCCTGGGGCTCGGGGCGCAGGGTTTGCCTTGGATTTGCCGTGATTCCCGCGTCGTCCACTTGGGCGCGTCGAGAGCAAACGGCGCGGCGACAAATCACGACGGAAGGTGTTCCCACCTTTTTTAGGCCTCCGGGGGCCGTTATCGGGCCTCAGACTTTCAGAACACGTCTCAGGATGAGATATTGGTCCTTGACCTTCTGTCGCTCGGACTTGTACATTTGTTCGTCGAATACAGAATCAAGGAGTTTTTTGGATCATCTTGCGAAAAGATGAACGCACGAAACCGGAAAAGTGCACCGGGAATGGACGTTCGAGCGATGGCGAGTGGATGGGAGAATCGTGACATCGGGGATTTGGGTTCTTTCCTCGGAGGATGGCCCGACGAGACAACGGCGGCCTTGAGACATGTTTTCCACCCCCTGGCGAACAGGTCGGACCGAGGTACAAGATTGAGGTCGGTTTGGGGAGGGTACTCTAATGTTTTTCTTGTTTGTTGGACGTCCTTGTGCATCTGGGGGGAGAGTACCCTCGAATGTTCTTCAGTTTGGCCAGTGGAGGGTCTCACGTTCTCGGAGGATGGTCTTCTGCCCTCGGTCCGGCCGTAACGGGCGTGACCGAGGGGGGAGGGGGGGTGGGAGGGGGCGGCCGCTAAGGTCACGATGCGCGCTGGCGCCGTCAAGAGAGGCTGATGATTCCCGGACGGCGCTGGCACGAATCGTGACGTGGCCAAGGGGGGGAGGGCGGGGGAGGACGGGGCCAGTCACGGGCGTTCTCCCGAATAGCCAGAAAAAGTGGCTCCTTCCCTAGCGCTTTTCACCTTCTCTGAGCCTCCTGGGGGCACATCGTCGCCCTGGCTGGATCTGCCTCGAAGGATGGGTCATGATGGACATTGGGAGGGGTCCAGGGACGAATGTTGAGGGGATGTGGGCCAGGCAGTTGGGCCGCCGCGGTTTGGCCTCAGAGTCAGTGTGAAGCATGCAATAGCGAGCCGCGAGGAATCAGGAAGGCAACATCGGACAGGTATAGCATAGAGACCCGCAAGGGCGCGTCGATGCAGCGCAAGCTGTCCTTATCCTGCTTCCCCTTGTCCTGCTCCTCAAGGATGTTCCAGAGGGGGTTCAGGATTTACGCGCGCGCGGAGTATTCGATGTCCCGGGGGGATCTTCCTCCACCTCCGCATTTGCCTCCTCATCATCCTCGACGTTATCTTCCACTTCCCCCTGGCTCCACATTCCGCAGTCCACCTTCCTCCTCCTCCTCCTCATTTTGGTCGCCCTCTTCCCCCACCACACTCTGCTCCTCCTCCTCCTCCTCCTCCTCCTTCTCCTCCTCTTCCCTCCTCCTCCTCCTCCTCCTCCTCCTCCTCCTCCTCCTCCTCCTCCATGCCGCACCCCGTAAATCATCATGAACTTCTTCATTATCATCATCAGCATTATCATCATCATCATCATCAGCATCATCGTCATCATCATCAGCAGCAGCAGCATCATCATCATCATCTGCAGCATCATCGTCATCAGCATCATAATCATCATCATCATCAGCATCATCATCAGCCTCAGCATCACCAACAACAGCATCATCATCAGCATCATCATCATCTGCATCAGTATCAGCACCAGCATCCTCATCGGCATCATCATCATCATCATCATCAACAGCATCATACTCACCGTCATCACCATCATCGCGATTGTAATCGTCATCGTTATCGAAATCAGCAGCATCATCAGCAGCATCAGCATCATCAGAATCACCACCATCATCATCATCGTCACCATCATCATCGCCGCCATCACCATCATCATCATCATCATCATCATCAGTACAGTCGTCATCGTCATAACCATCATCATAACCGTAACCATCACCAGCACTATCACCATCATCATCAGCATCAGCATCATCACAACCATCATCTTCACCAACAGCAGCAGCAGCAGCAGCAGCAGTGACATCACCGTCCGATTTATCAGCAACACGAGCAACAGCAACATCAGCATCGGCAGCATCATCAGCATCATCCTCATCATCAGCAGCAGCATCATCAGCATCATCCTCCTGAGCATCATCATCATCATCATCAGCAGCAGCATCATTTGGCCCCCTTCCTCCTCCCCCCCCTCGCTCTCTCTTCTCCCTCGCTCTCCCTCGCTCTCTCTTCGCTCCTCTCTCCCCCCCCTCGCTCCTCTCCCCTTGCTCCTCTCTCCCCCCCCTCGCTCTCGCTTCCCCCTCGCCCACCCCTCCCCTCCCCTCCGGCAGCCCCGGCCCTGGGCGGAGGTGCTGATGCGGCAGCTGTTCGACGACACGTTCGGCATGTTCGAAACCGGCGCAGTCTCCAACACCACGTGGTTCAACATGGCAGCGCCGGACGACGAGGCGGGCCGCACCCGCGCTACGTAAGTACCCTCGCCCGCCAGAGCACGAGGCCACACCCGGCCTCCTCCTCCTTCTCCCTGCTCCTCCTCCTCCTCCTCCTCCTCCTTGTCCTCCTCCTCCTCCTCCTCCTCCTCCTCCTCCTTCTCCTTCTCCCTGCTCCTCCTCCTCCTCCTCCTCCTCCTCCTCCTCCTCCTCCTCTCCTCATCTCCGCTCCTTCTCCTCCTCCTCCTCCTCCTCCTCCTTCTCCTCCTCCTCCTTGTCCCTGCTCCTGCTCCTCCTCCTCCTCCTCCTCCTCCTCCTAGCCGTTCTGGCTGAAGCATCTTTCAGCTTGCTGTCACTGACACTTCAGAACGGCTGGGGGACAGCGGGCCTTTTGGCGCGGCATCACTCAAGACGGCACTCGCGCAATGGCTCCCAAGGCTTGGCCTGGTGTTGGCGACAACGCTCGTGGCCCTCGCTGGTCCTGCCGCCATTGTGGGTGCAAACGCAACGAGAGCTACTACAGCTACTGCAAGCACTGCAAGAAATGGTGGAACGCCCCCATCGACGATGGCTCTGCGGGGGACAAGGCACGTGGTGACCCAGCGGCCCTTCGTCGAGAGGCTGCTGGTGTGGCCGCTGGTCAGGCCACCAAGGCATCTGTTGCCGCAGCCCCTTCTTCCTCGGCTAGCAAGTCTGACTTGGAGCAGATGGTGCAGCTGTGCGAGAGAGTGGGCAACCAAGTGCTGCTGCAGCAGGCCCAGCAGGAGCTGCAGAAGCTCAAGGAGTCTTCAGTTCCACCTCAGGAGCGTGCTGATGCCGCTCACAAGGAGATCTCGAGGCTCGAGAAGAAGCTGGACAAGGACCTCAAAGCTGTCCACACGGTGGAGCAGAAGCTCGAGACCCTCCGTGCCCAGCTGGAGTCGACCTTGGCGGAGCTGGATAAGTACGATGCTGAGTACAAGACGGCCATCGCAGAGCTGCATCTCACAGTGTCCAAGCCCCAGGCCCAGCAGCAGCAGCAGTCCATGCCCACGATCAGCCTCACCGACATCCTGGAGGGTCGCCTCACAGGTTTGCAGGTGGACGACGGGAACTTGTTCGGGCTCGAGGACTACGTTGAGGTGTCTGCAGGAGACCTGGAGGAGGCAGCTCGTCGCAAGAGTCAGATGGCCGACTGTATCAAGGACACGTGCACGAAGCTGTTCGGAGAGCTCAAGAAGCGCGCCGAGGAGCACAAGACGGCGCACAAGGAGCAGCAGGAGCGTCTGGCCCACAAGCGTCGCCGCCAGGGTGATGAAGGTGGTGATGATGCGGATGCCTCTGGAGCTGCAGCTGCTGGAGACACGCCTACTGCAGCTGGAGGTTCGGCGGCGGCGACTTCTGACAGTGAGGCTGCGCGTACCCCTGCAAAGGCTGGCGGTGGAGCCCCAGCGGCTGAGGCGGCTGCGACAGGCAAGGCGCCTCCGCCCGCTACGCCAGTCAAGGCAGCGGGCCCCCCAGCAGCCCCAGCAGATGTGCGAGCTGCTGCCCGCCAGACGGTCCAGAGGGGCGCTCAGGCTCCCAGGACCGCGGCGACAGCTAAGGCTCCGTCTCCAGGGTAGTCGAGCCAGGACGGACTCCTCCTTCCCCATGATCCCTTCCTCTTGCCCAGTTTTGGATGATTCGAGCGTTTCGGGACACCACTGTCGGCGAGCTGGATCCTCTTGGGAAAATTTTGAATTGGAGTTCGTCACGGCTAACTGTACCTCTTGGAGTTCCCTCAAGAAGTTTTTAGCCTTGACCACGGCGCACGTCGTCATGTGTCAGGAGCACAAGCTCATCAGCGCCGAGGACCTGCGTAAGGCCCAGGCTCGGTGTGTTCGAAACGGTTGGAAGGTGCACTTTGAGCCTGGAGTTTTGGGACCTGGAGGGGGTCCGTCCTCGGGAGTCGGGGTCCTGGCTCGGTCCTTCCTGGGACTGCACTACCCTGATTGTGGGCCTCGGGTGAAAAATCATCGAGCCACGGGTGTGTTAGTCCATCTCCCTGGTCAGGCTAGTGTCTATGTTATGAGTGTCTACTTGCAGGATTGTGCTGGCTTGAACGATCTCAACAGTGAGATCCTGGCGTGCATTGCTTCGAGAGCCAAGAGCCTCTCGGTGCCTTATGTGATCGGGGGTGATTTCAACATGGAGCCTTCGATTTTGTGCACCTCGCGGATCCCCGACCGCCTCGGTGCCGAATTTTGCGTTCCCTCGGGTGTCCTTGGCGCTTGTAGGTCGACTGGAGGTTTGAAGATGTACGATTATTTGTTGGTTGAGGCCAGAGTTGCCCAAGCTATTGCGAGCGTGAAGATTATCGCGGACTCGGAGTTGGCTACCCACGACCCCGTTTCGGTTAAACTTCACCCTCAGCTTGCGTCTCTGCGGGCCCTCACTTTTCGCAGCCCCCCGCCGCTCCCTAAAGAACGGCCCCCTGGTCCCTTGCCCCAACCATCCAAGGATTGGGATGTAGTGTCTCGAATGGCCTCCAGAGCCCTTGCGTCGGCCGAGCTTGGCGACACTGATAGAACCCAGTTCAACCTTGATGTGTTGTATCGTGAGTGGGGTACGGCTGCTGAAAAGGAGCTCGAGGGTGCTTTTCAGACCCAGCTACCAGTTCATGGCACGAGAGGCCGCCAGGCTCAGCTGCGCCGGGTCAACGTCGTCGACGCGTCGCATCGCTCGATGGCGGGCATCTCTCGGACTTCGCGCGCGGCTACCAGTTTGAGGTGGCTGTGCTCGCGCGACCGCCTTTGGCTCCAGTTGCACGGCCTCGGTTGTCAAGATCGAGATTGTCAGGTGGTGCCTCTCTCCTCCCCACCTTTTGCTTATTGCGGTGATGAAAAACGGTCTTGCGTTGCGGTGGTTAGCGATAGCTCCCGTAATGTGGCCAGAGCGTCCAGCTCGGAGGAGCGTCGGCAGCAACACCTGCGGGATACTGCGGGCGAGCTGATCCACCCTCCGTCGAGACTGGGCACTTGGGACGGTGAGCCATTGACTCTCCTCCAGGCTGTTCAGGATATTGTGACTCATAGCCCCCCATGCCAACCTTACATTGACGGGGAACCCCAACGTGCGCTTGATTTGGTCTCCCAGGCCCTGGCGGCGGCCGAGAGCAAGTCTCGCCATGAGGATCATAAGAACTGGTTGGAATGGATTCGTCAGAATATTGAAAACGGAGCCCGTCACGCCCACGGGGTGATTCGTGGAGCCGCGGGGGGGACCCATTCTACTACCTTGTCGGCTAAAGGCGAGGTGGTCTCGGACCCTGGGGCCCTCTCATCGTCTGAGCTCGAGAAATTTGCGCGTATCTGGCACGCCCAACCTGTTCCCGAGCCGCGCCCATCTGGCGCTAGCTTCGTGCCCCTCGAGCCTCTGCCTGAGCTTTCGGTCGAGGATCTTCGTCGGACGGCCCGTTCTTTTCCCGCTCGTACCGCCTCGTCTGTCGATGGGTTTCACGTTCGGTCGTTTCAGCATATGTCGGACCCTGCTCTGCAGGTGCTTGCGATCATGATTGCGATTTGGGAACGTTCGGGTCTGTTGCCTGGCCAGATGAGGGTTGTGCTGCTCATTATGCTCGCTAAGCCCGATGGAGGGCACCGCCCGATCGGACTGTTCGTGGCTCCGCATCGTTTGTGGGCCCGCGCCAGGCGAGACTTTGCTCGGCAGTGGGAAGCTGCAAATGCCCGAGAGTACTTCTGTGCTGGCGCTTTCGCCTCCAGTGTCGATACCGTCTGGAGGCAAGGAGTGAGGAGCGAGGTTGCGGTTGCTTCCAAGGACTGTTCTGGGTCTATCTTGTGGGATCTTCTGAAGTTCTACGAGGCTGTTGACCTCGACTCGCTCCTTGCCCGTTGTCACCAGCATTCCTTTCCCATGCAGATTGCCAGGGTCTGCTACGAGGCCTATCGCTCGTGCCGCTACATGGCCATGAACGGCCGCGTGGAGGGCCCGCAGTTTGCTTGGCGAGGCTTGGTTGCTGGGTGCGGATTCGCCACCACTTTCATTCGCGTCTTCACGCTAGCGGCCTTAGATGGCCTCAGCATCCCTAGATCGGTCCCGTTGGGAGTTTACATCGATGACTACACCTTGTCTTGCACGGGGGCCCCCAAGGCCGTCGTACAGGACCTGATCGAAGCTGCGTTCCGATTGCAGGTGGCCATCGAGTCCGATCTAGGTTGTTCTATTTCTGTCAGTAAGGCGGCTGTGGTCGCCTCAGTTTCCTCAGTGGCTAAGGAGATTCGCCGAGGCCTTGGCGCTGTGGGCGGAGCTCCGTGCGCATCTGCGGTCAACCTGGGCATTGACGACGCTGCAGGCAAGCCTCGGAGGACGGCCAGGAGAGGACCTAAGATTCAGATTCGTAAGAAGCCCTTCAAAACCAATTGTCATCGTATTAGGGTTCATAGGAATGCTTTGGGGAGACACGCCAAGCGGATATATACTAGCGGCCCCTTGGCCAGCAGAACTTATGGCTGTGAGGTGCACGGCACTTCCGACCATGAGTTGGCGAGTCTGCGGCGCTCTCTTGGACGGTTTCTCAGCCCCTCGGCTGGAGGCCGCTCTTTGACCGCAGCTTTGCTGTTCGCCGCCGACCCCACTTGGTATTGTGCTGTGGCCCCTATCGTGCGCTGGTCCAAAGAAATCTGGGCCAGCCTTACGGCCTCCTTCGAGTTTGGCCTCAGCTTGGCCGAGCTTAGGGGGGCTTGGGGTGCCGTGTTTGCGGGCCCCTCCCCCTCCTGGAGGCAGATTGGGGGCCCTGTTGGGGCCCTTAGGCTGTCGGTGGAGCGTCTTGGGTGGAGGATGCCCTCTTTTTCCACCTTGGTTGGCGACTTGGGGGTGGAAGTTCAGTTAACGCTCGTCTCCCCTGCCCTCCTCAAACGTCTGCTGCGTCTCGCCGTTTTGAGATCTCATGAGCGTGCCTACGGCGACAGCCTTGGTCTCGAGCGTCGTGCTTGCCTAGACGTGCCGCTCCGAGCTATGGCTTCGTCTAAGTTCACGCCTTGGGAGAAAGTTTGTATCCGCGGGCTCGTCTGTCAGGCTCCGTGGACCAAGGTTAGAGCGTCAGAGCACGGCTACGTTTTGCCCGACCTGCTCTGCCCTCTGTGCGGCAAGGAGCAGGACACGATTTTCCACAGGTTGTGGATGTGCGTGCACGAGTCCTGCGCCGAGATGCGCCGAGAGCTTTTAGGAGATGACTTTCAGCATCATCCACCAGCATGGTCATCCCTATCGAAGCACGATCAGGTTCTGTATACCACGGGGATTATGTCTCATCCTGGAGATTTCTTTCCAGCCCCTACAGTTGCTGAGCCTACTGTACATCATGCCAGCGACCCCAGTCGCGATGCTTACTTTGTTAAAGGTCATATATTTATGGACGGTTCGTGCACCAGGTCTGTTATTCGGGAGTTGTCGCGGACTGGGTGGTCGTGCGTCTCGGTCTCCGATTCTGGGCAAGAGTTGGGTCATGTGTACGCTCCCCTCCCCCTCCCCCTCCCGCAAACGGCTCAGGCTGGTGAGTTCGCTGCGTGTGCGGCGGCCTGCCAGAACGCCCTGGACCCTTCATGTGGATATAGTGACTGTCAGAATGTTGTACAGTTTTGGTCCCTCCCCCGCTCTGAACAGTTGTCTTTCAAACGGGTGCACGCTGGTATGTTTGTTTGGGCGGCTGATTCAAAAATGGGCCAGATTTTAAGGTCAAAGGTCACGTGACCGAAGAGCAGGCCCAGGGGGATGATCATCTGCGTTTTTGTAAGGCTGGGAACGACCTGGCCGATCACCACGCCAAGCTCGGGGCTTTAGCTCACGAGAAGCCGAGCCCCGAGCAATCTGAGTGGCTCGATCGAGCCCTCTCCATTGCTAAGAAAGTTTGTGTGCTGGCTGCCAAGGTGCTCCCGCTCTGGCCCGCGTGTGATCTGTCCCAGGCCACGCGTGAGCAGCGGGAGCTTGTCGCGCCCGCTCCCAAGAATCGCCACCCCTGGGTGCATAGGGACGGCTACTGGCAGTGCAAGCAATGTTTGCGGGCGACCAGGTCTTGTTGGCCCCCCAACAGTATCTGCCGTCTTACCCACAAGCTCTATGACACCAAGCTCATAGAGCTTGGCCACAAGTGCATTGCCTTGTCTTGCTCCGACGGCAGCGCGTTGTGCATTTGCCTAAAGTGCAAGGCCTTTTCGACGGGGGGATACGTGCGCTATCTCAACAAAGCGTGCAACGGTAAGCCGCACTGTCCCCGCTCGTCGGCCTCTTATTGGAACCGTCTCCTCTCTGGCAAGCACCCGAAGAGCGACTCTATTTGGCTCGACGTGGATGCTCTCAGCGTGGTTCGGTTATTTGATTGACGCCCGACGGGCGAGCCTCCTGGCAGTCGCCACGGGGGCATGGCCCTGTCGCGTGGCCTGTATTGCAGGTCGGCCAGCGTGCACGGAACAATCCTGCGCTGGCAGCGTCTCAAGTGTCGAGCTCGACGGCTGCCTGGCTGGCCGCCAGGAGGACCGCGATGACTCGCGGCAGAGTAGCGCAGCGGCAAAAAATCCTCCTCCTCCTCCTCCTCATTCTCCTTCTCCCTGCTCCTCCTCCTCCTCCTAATCCTCCTCCCCCTCTTTCTTCTCCTTCTCCCTCCTCCTCCTCCTCCTCCTGCTTGTCCCTGCTCCTCCTCCTTTTTCTCCTTCTCCCTGCTCCTCCTCCTCCTCCTCCTCCTCCTCCTCCTCCCTGCTCCTCCTCCTCCTCCTCGTCCTCCTCATCCTCCTTCTCCATGCTCCTCCTCCTCCTCCTCCTCCTCCTGCTTGTCCCTGCTCCTCCTCCTCCTCCTCCTCCTCCTCCCCCTCCTCCTCCGCCTCCTCCTCCTCCTCCTCCTCCCTCCTCCACTCCTCCTCCTCCTTCTCCTGCTCCTCCTCCTCCTCTCCTCCCTACTTCTTCCCTGCTCCTCCGCCTCCGCCTCCTCCTCCTTTCCTTCTCCCTGCTCCTCCTCATCATCATCATCCTTCTTACCCTGCTCCTCCCCCCCGCCTCCTCCCTCTCCTCTCCCTCCTCCTCCTCCTCATCCTCCTCCTTCTCCTGCTCCTCCCCCTCCTCCTCCCTCCTCCTCCTCCTCCTCCTCCTCCTCCTCCTCCTCCTCCTCCTCCTCCACCTCTCCCTGCGTCTCCTCCCCCTCCTTCCCCTGCTCCTCCTCCTCCGCCTCCTTCTCTCTCCTCTCCTCCTCCTCCTCCTCCTCCTCCTCCTCCTCCTCCTCCACCTCCTTCCCTTCCTCCTCCTCCACCTCCTCCTCCTCCTCCTCCTCCTCCTCCTCCCTCCTCTTGCTTCTCCTGTTCCTCGCCTTCTCCTGCTTATCGTCCTTCCTCCTTCTCCCTGCTCCTCCTCCTCCTCCTCCTCCTCCTTCTCACTGCCCTCATCCTCCTCCTCCTTTTCCCTCTCCTCCTTCCCTTCCTCCTCCTCCTCTCCTCCTCCTCCTCCTCCTCCTCCTCCTCTCCTCCTACTCCCTCCTCCTCCTCCTCCTCCTCCTCCTCCTCCTCCTCCTCCTCCTCCTCCTCCTCCTCCCCCACAGTCGAGCCAGGCGCGGGGGAGCTCCAGCGCCCGGCCTGCCCGTGCGCCCTTGAGAGGGTCCGCGGGGCGGTGGTCCCCGAGGGTTCCCTTGACGGCTCGCGGGGCCTGCGGGGGCCTCGCTCGGCGGCCGGAGAGGTTGGCACCCCGCACCGAGATCGGCGGCGTGCCTCCGCTCCTCCTCCTCGACCTCCTAGTCAGCTTTCGCTCGCATTTGCGGGCCGAGTTTCGTGACATTTTCGTTGCGCGCTGACGCGCCGAGGAGTTATTCAATGCCGCTGTTTTTCCTGGGCATTCGCCGCAGAAATGTTACTCAAGACCAGCTTTTTCTTTGGGCACCTCCTGTGTGTGCAGGAACAAAGAAAGATCGGCGGCGTGCCTCCACCGAGGGAGGGAGAGATCCCGGTCTCGGTGATGGTGGTAGTGTTCTGGCTGCTAAAGTGGCCGAAAGAGGACCACACCGAAGTCCAGGATCATCTTCCCCCCATGGAGACAACCCCCTGTGTTGGTGTTGGTTCCCATTTACAGGCCTCCAATCCTTGAGGGCTCGCGGGGTCTGCGGGGGCTTTAGGGTTTCCCTTGGTCGACAGACCTGTCTAGCAGACTTCGAAAAGAAAAGGCCAGAGTCCCCGGGGCGGCCTTCCATCCAGGGAACGCCCGCGGAGCCGCGTTTCGCAGCCGCCGCGGCGGCGCCCGCGAGCTAGTAGAGCCTGCCGTGCCCCGTCGGCCGAGCGAAAAGAGGAGGGGGGGGCTGCAGGGTCCCGTCGTCGTTCTGATCGTGGCCGTCGGGGGAGGAGGCCGAGAGCGAAGGCGAGGAACGGGTGAACGAAGGGGCAAAGCTGTGGAAGGTGTGCGAATGCGACCACAGAAGTCGCTCCCCGAAGGGTGCACTCGGGCGAAGTAGTGCGACGGAACGGGACAAGGGCATGTCAAGGGAAGCGAACAATGGCATCAAAATAAAACCTATGAGGTCCGCGCGGACCTCCGAGTTTTTTTGTTCATGTCAGTACTAGTTCCCCGAATGTCGCCTGCCCCACTGACAGCCACCGTCCTTGAGGTGATGTGTCGCTCAGGGTGGTGCCGCGAGGAAGACGGCTGCCCGCCTGTGGAGGCGACACAGGTCCTGATACTGCGGACCCCGCTTCGCCGACCTTGATACAGTGGAGGCCAGTCCAAAAGAAACCTCTCACAAGAAACCCAACCCTGAGACCCCAGGACGCCCATGGATTTTTGACGTGGGAACGTCACGCCGCCCACAGCGAAGCCATCGAAACCCGAGAGACTCGGGGCGGCCCGGAGGCGAGCGGCGCATTTCTTGGCACGGGCCTCCACTGTGCTGCGGGCCAGCTGTGAAGACCCTGCGGGGGCAGCCGGGTGCCACACCCGAGGCGAGAACCCATGGCGAGGGGGGGAGTTCAGCCTTCCACCACGGCCTCCTCCTCCTCCTCCTCCTCTTCCTCCTCCTCCTCCTCCTCCTCCTCCTCCTCCTCCTCCTCTTCCTCGATCGCAAACATGGATCAAGGGGGCGTGGATTAGCGACGGGTCCCGCTTCCATGGGAAATCTCGGATTTCCGCCGCCGAACGGGGCGGCACCGGCCGCATTTTGGGGAGGGCACCTCCCCCGATCCATGGATTTGGCGAGTGCGCGCCAGATCCATGGATCGCTAATTCATTTTTGCGCGCCCCCGGAAATGGCCGCCCGCTTATCTCCGTCCACTTGGGCCAAGCTGTCTGGTGGTACCAGGATGCGACACCATGCCTCTGCAGAGCGAGTGGGAAGGGGAGGGAGGAGGAGGAGGAGGAGGAGGAGGATGAGGAGGATGAGGAGGAGGAGAGGAGGAGGAGGAGGAGGAGGAGGAGGATTTTTTCAGGGTTTCCTACAGGTCGGCGACCTAAGGAGGAGGAGGAGGAGGAGGAGGAGGATGAGGAGGAGGAGGAGGAGGCGGAGGCGGAGGAGCGAGGAGGAAAAGGCGGAGGAGAGAGGGAAGGGAGGAGGAAGGAGGAGCGGGAGGAGGCGGGAGGGAGGAGAAAAGCGGGGAGGAGGAGTTTGAGGAGGAGGCGGGAGGGAGGGAGGGAAGAGGAGGGGGGAGGGGAGGAGGAGGAGGGAGGAGGAGGAGGAGGAGGAGGAGGAGAGGAGAGGAGAGGAGGAGAGGAGAGGAGGAGGAGGAAGAGGAGGAGGAGAAAGAGGAGGAGGAGGCGGGAGGAGGAGGAAGGCGGCGGGAAGAGGAGAAGGACGGGGGGAGTTGGAGGGAGGCGAGAGGAGGAAGGAGAAAGGACGAGGAGGGAGGCGGCGCGCCGAGGACACCAACAACATGTTCGCGATCTGCGGTGCCCCCCCGCCGCGGCAGGGGGCAGCGCCCGCCGCCTCCTGGTCGTCATCGTCACCATCATCAGCAGCATCTGCATCAGAAGCAGCAGCATCGCCATCACCGTCACCGAAACCATCTTCATTATCATCATCGTCATGATCAGCATCATCATTATCATCATCATCATCATCATCATCATCATCATCATCATCATCATCATCATCACCATCACCATCATCAGCATCATCATCATCATCATTACCACCAATGTTATCACCACCATCATCGTCATCGTTATCGTCGTCATTACCATCAGCACCAGCATCGCCATCATCAACATCATCACCACAAGCATCACCATCATCACCGCCATAATCATCATCATCAGCATCATCAGCATCACCATCATCATAATCAGTATCATCATCATCATCGTCGTCGTCGCCATCGTCATCAGCATCATTAGTAGTAGCATCACCACCATCATCATGATCCCCACCGTCATCAGGATCCCCCCTCCACCACCACCACCATCATCATAATCAGTATCATCATCATTATTATCATCGTCATCATCGTCATCGTCATCATCATCATCATCATCATCATCAGCATCGCAACCGCCATCGTCATCATCCGCAGCAGCATCATCAGCATCACCATCATCAGCTTCATCGTCATCACCATCACCATCCTCACCACCATCGTCATTATCATGATCAGCATCACCACCATCATCGTCACCACCAGCATCATCATCATCATCATCAGCATCGTCATGATCGTCACAACCATCATCGTCGTAATTATAATATGCATCAGGATCATCATAAGGAACATCACCATCAGCACCATCATCATCACCATCAGCATCATCATCAGCACCACTATCCTCATCATCATCATCATCATCATCAGCAGCAGCAGCATCATCATCATCATCGCCATCACCGTCAGATTCGCCAGTTCTATCACTCATCATCGTCGTCGTCTTGCTCTGCTCTGGCCCGCCGCGCCCTCCGTCCGCACTCGCCGCCGCCGCCGCCTCAGCCCGTCGCTGCTGTGATCCAGCTCGGGCAAGTCGGGCCACTGCTCGTGCCCAGGGGAAAGCGCAGGCGGAGGGAGGTCGTGCCGACTCCGGGTGGCCACCCCCCCGTCGAGCGTTTGGCTGGCGAACAAAAAAAAGGTTTGGACTCAGCCTCGTACTCCAAATCCCTTATTAATCGACCCCCCCCTAAAAAACCGGACTCCCCTCCAAATGCGACCTAATATTCTGGACCCCCCTCTTCGACGGGGCGCCCTATGCTCCAATCCGAAGAAGGCGCCCTAATAAACCAGACCCCCCCAGTTGCAAAAAAGGCGCCTGAAAAACCGGACCCGGGGGACGATTAATAATGGATTTGGAGTAGTTCAGCAACCCTTGATTCCAGTTCACAGTGGAAGGGGAATCGGCCTGGCTGGCCCCACCCGGGGAAGCCTGCTTCGCCCACGCGGAGGGGGAGGGAGGGACGAGGGAAGGCGGGCAACCAAGGAGGGGAGGGCGCAGACGAGACGGAGAAGGGCGCAGGGAAGAGGATTTTGATGGGCAGTGGGAGTGCGGAGGAGTGGAGGGAGCAAGGAGAAACGAGCAAGGGAACAGGGAGGCAGGATGCAGGTGGAGTCAGGGGGAGGCAGAGGCAGCAGCGAACGGGGAGCAGAGAGGGGGGGAGAGTTCCGTTCAGGCGCAACATCCACAAACGCATCATTGCAATAGCGGGGAGGAGCCGAGGGGAGGAGGAGGAGGGGAGGAGGAGAGGGAGGAGGAAGAGGATATGCGGCGGGAGGAGGAGAGGGCGGTTAGAGTAAAGGAACAGGGACGAGGGGAGGAGAGGGACGGAGGGGAAGGACAGGAACAGGAGGAGGAAAAGGAGGAGGAGGAGGAGGAAGAGGAGGAGGAGGAGGAGAGGGAGGAGCAGAGGGAAAAGGAAGAAGATGAAGAAGAGGAGACATAGGAGGAATAGGAACGAGGAGGAGGAGGAGGAGGGGGAGGAGGAGGAAGAAAAGGAGGAGGGGTGGAGGAGGTGGAGGAGTGGGAGAAGGAGGAGGAGGAGATGATGAAGGAGGAAGAGGAGGAGGAGGAGTAAGAGGAGGACCAAGAAAAGGAGGAAGTGGAGGAGGCGGAGGAGGAGGAGGAAGAGATGAAGGAGTAAGGAACAGAGGAGTAAGTGGAGAAGGGGAGGAGGGGGAGGAGGAGGAGGAGGAGGAATCCGCGACCGCCCGAGAGGTTGAGGCGTGTTGAAGGCCAAGTGCGCTGACATCCTGGCCACGCCAGGTGTCGTCAGCACTCGCACGACGCCATGCTTTAACAGTAGCCGTCGCGACGCCCAACCCGCAAGTCTGAAGGGCCAGTTGAATACATTCCAGCGCCAAAGCAAGAGAGAGTCCCTCCCGTCCAGTGCTCCTTCGCGTGGGTTGCTGAGCTCTGGAGCTGCGAAAAATGTATCCGCGCGACCCGCAAACAGGATTTTACCTCGCGCACCTTGACGGAGAGCCGCCGAGGCCGCCTCCGCGCAGATGCGCGGGAGTGGTGCATGACTTAGACATTGCCCGCGTTGGGCTCCTTAAGCGCAACGTCGTCAGCGTTGCATGCTCCTATAATTTCAACGCTGTTCGTGCCCCTTCACTGCTCTGCGTTCATGAACACATATTTCCCGCTCAAGAGCAACCTGTACAAGCAGAGGTGTCCAGGAAAGAGATCTTCCCGGCAACTCTGGAAGTGGAATCGCGTCTTGAGGGGAGTACACCCTCAGCACGGAAAGGATCACATCAAAGTGTTGGTAGATGAGTTCGACAATGCTGCGCCAGGGGTTGCGCACCAAGTCAGAATTCAGAATTCGGAATCCAGTCAGATTCTGGAAGCTGCGTTTGAGGCCCTCGGCCCTTACAGCGCCGAAGATTCGCGCAGCTCTGTTCAGTGATCCTCCACTTCGCGTCGGCACCTGCTCGTTGCCTCCTGCCGTCGCTTCACCACAGCAGCTGAAGCCTTCTGGCAATCCTTCTCCTCCCCCATCCTCCTCCTCCTCCTCGCATCACCTGCCTGGCGGCGCGGCCAGGTCCTTCTCCAGGATATATGTAGCTGTCCCTTTTCGGGTGCCCTTCGTGGGTTACATGCAAGTCGGGCGTGTCCCTCAACAGGAGGAATATTCTTAAACAGTCAAAAAATACGGGTACGATGTTTCAACTATGTTTGACTATTTGGCGGTATTGTTTTACTATGTTTGATTTTTCGCCCAAAATCCTTCTGTAGGGGGACATGCCCAACCTAAGGCTACATCCTTCGGGAGTGTATCGCTGCTCTCGGCAAGCCCCGCCACCGTGCTAGCGCAGCAGCGCAGTTGGAAGGATGTAGAGCTGTGGCCCCGTTTAAGGTTGGTGTCGTGCCGGAGCTGGCGCGAATTGTGAGCGCCCCCTCGTCCGAAGCCTCGTTCTCCTCATCGATTCTCCTTCCTCCTCCTCCGCCCCATCCTCTCCCTTTCCTCATGGACGCATGAGGAAGAGGAGGAGGAGGAGGAGGAGGAGAAAGAGGAGGAGGAGGAGGAGGAGGAGGAGGAGGAGAAAGAGGAGGAGGAGAAGGAGGATAGAGGAGGAGGAGGAGGAGGAGGAGGAGGAGGAGGAGGAAGAGGAGGAGGAGGAGGAGGAGGAGG